ACTCAGTACAAACACCATAAGCAAAACTTGTTTTCATGTAAATAAAGAAGCTTGTTCCTAAACGTTTTCGTCGCCATCTCATCAGAGGATTACTGGCAAATCAACAAAAGCTCTTAACTCAATATATATACGCACAATGCAAGTAACCGCCAGCTCAACCCCACCAAGGCCACTGGTCCAGATGGGATACCTGCCCGCGTCTTGAAAGCTTGCGCTGCAGAATTGGCACGGCCGCTTTCAAAACTATTTACATGCTGTCTTCGCTCCGGTATCCAGCCACAACAGTGGAAGGTTGCAAACGTAGTTCCAGTCCACAAGCGCAAGTCTAAATCGTCGCCATCAAACTATCGACCAGTGTCGTTACTGAGCATCCTCTCCAAGGTCATGGAGACCATAGTCAACAGGGCAATGAGCAACTTCATGGAGACGAATCACGTCCTGTCAGAACGGCAATTTGGATTCCGTCGCGGCCACAGTGCAGCAGACCTGCTGACTGCTCTCCACCACCAGTGGGTGCACACCGCCGGAAATAAAGGAGCTTCTCGAGTGCTGGCCATCGACATTGCTGGAGCATTTGACCGGGTGTCTCACACTGGTGTGTTGCACAAGGCTAGAGTGTATGGCATCTCGGGAGACCTGCATCGGTGGCTCCAAGACTACCTCTGCAACCGCACACTTCAAGTCCTCATCTCCGGCCAGACATCAGCCAGACGCCCAGTTAAGGCTGGGGTGCCACAGGGCAGTATCCTGGGGCCCACCTTATTCTTGGTCTACGTCAACGACCTTGAAGACCACCTCCCAATCGGCTCCAACCTTGCCTCATTCGCCGATGACACAACCCTATACGCCGAAATTGCAACGCTCGCTGCTGTTCCTGACAACGCTAGAGTACTCCAGGCTGCTGTCGACCTAGTATCCAGTTGGGGCTCGGATTGGAAAGTGCAGTTCGAGCCAGCCAAATCTCAGGCCCTTACAATTTCCCACCATCGTCGGGACTGGCCAATACCCCCCATTGTCTTCAATGGAACTCCTGTCGAGGAGCAGCCCTCCATCAAAGTACTCGGCGTCACGTTTGACCATCAGCTAAAATTCAGCCAGCATATCCGAACTGTTGTAGTCCGAGCAACGCAGAGACTTGGAGCCTTGCGCAAGGCATTTCACTTGCTGACTATTCCTGCCCGGCTTCGAGCCTACAAAGCCTTTGTCCGGCCGGTTATGGAGTACTGCCCAATCGTCTGGATGGGGGCAGCTCCTTCCCACTTGAATCGGCTGGACTGGGTGCAGGAGCGAGCCATCAAGGCAATACATCCGCAATGCTGGCTTCCTAGCCTCATAATTCGCCGCACCATCGCTGCCCTCTGCCTCCTGTATAAAGCCCTTTGCGATAATTCTCCCGCTCTTCTCTCGAGAATGGCTCCACCCCCGACACACCAACCCAGGACCACACGCCTCACCCGCCAGGCTGTACGACTGTCCACCGCGCATCCCCATCAGTTACAGAATGTTCTTCCTGCCAATTCCCGGAACAATGTGAGCCGAGCCTTTCCCCACTCCGTCATCCCAATTTGGAACCAGCTGCCTACCTCTATCATTCCCCACCCATTTCACCCAAAGAACATCCAAAAGTTCAAGACAGCAGCTTATCACCATCTCCTCAGAACGAACTGGCACTGGGCCACTCATAGCATACGCGAGTAAGAGGGTACAGTGTCCTACCCTGCTTGGACATACATGTAATCTCTCCTCACGGACAGTCTCCTCTTGAATTTAAAAGTCTAACAGCGTTCACATCAATATTCAACTTATTCTTTTGCTCACTGAGCAATACAATCTTTCCATTTTCTTTCTTCTGTTTTCTTTTACAATTTAATCCTCCCCACCCAATATCCCTTTGGTGCGTCCATGGAGCTATGAAGCCGAGACCTCTGGTCGGCGGAGCTTAATGGGCCCCACCACCACACTCCATCATTCACCCCAGTGTCTGGAGATATGTGGATTTTGTAGAGAAAAAAAAAAAAAAAGAAAAAAAAATTAAGACCCTAACTAGCGCGATAAAATGAGAGCTGAAAGAAACATTACACCATTCAACGATATCAGGTGACAACAGATGCGATAAATTCACCACTAGAAAGTTACCATGCAACCACAAACGAGAACTACTGATCTAAATTCACAAACAATTTCAACGTAAACAAATTCTTTTTCTGCCTACACAAAATCGGCTTAGTGGTAAAAATGTAAATAGACTCCAATACACGCAAATACCTTTGACTACATGAACGAGACCAAACAGAAAAGCAATCATCAGCATAACTAGAACGACAATCACTATTCTGAACAAGATGGTTGGCGATAGAAGATTCATACACCCTAACAACGCTACTAGAACCAGTACATACTTTGGAATTACGTGACAATGTAACCGACCTGACATTCCTTGCCGCTACTGCCAATCCAGACGAGGCCGATGTAGATGTCAGTACCAAAGGCACGTCCGTTACTGGCACTGCCTGCTGCGATGATGCTCCCTTTGACGTTCCAATGGCTGTTGATGTTGATGAAGAGGAGGAGGGAGATGAGGAAGACGCTGACGACGACGATGACGACAACGACGGAGACGATAAAGACTCTGCTAACCTCGCCCTAGAGCGAGTCACTGGTCCCGCAGACACACCATCCGGTGGTTTCTTCGGTGGCCGGCCACGCTTTTTGCCACCGGAGGTGGACACACCGGATGACGGTACCAAGGAAGTCAAAGAAGACGACACCGCAAAAAAAAAAACCGCAAAACCGAAACTGCGGGACCAGTGACTCGCTCTAGGGCGAGGTTAGCAGAGTCTTTATCGTCTCCGTCGTTGTCGTCATCGTCGTCGTCAGCGTCTTCCTCATCTCCCTCCTCCTCTTCATCAACATCAACAGCCATTGGAACGTCAAAGGGAGCATCATCGCAGCAGGCAGTGCCAGTAACGGACGTGCCTTTGGTACTGACATCTACATCGGCCTCGTCTGGATTGGCAGTAGCGGCAAGGAATGTCAGGTCGGTTACATTGTCACGTAATTCCAAAGTATGTACTGGTTCTAGTAGCGTTGTTAGGGTGTATGAATCTTCTATCGCCAACCATCTTGTTCAGAATAGTGATTGTCGTTCTAGTTATGCTGATGATTGCTTTTCTGTTTGGTCTCGTTCATGTAGTCAAAGGTATTTGCGTGTATTGGAGTCTATTTACATTTTTACCACTAAGCCGATTTTGTGTAGGCAGAAAAAGAATTTGTTTACGTTGAAATTGTTTGTGAATTTAGATCAGTAGTTCTCGTTTGTGGTTGCATGGTAACTTTCTAGTGGTGAATTTATCGCATCTGTTGTCACCTGATATCGTTGAATGGTGTAATGTTTCTTTCAGCTCTCATTTTATCGCGCTAGTTAGGGTCTAAATTATTACTTGCATTGTGCGTATATATATTGAGTTAAGAGCTTTTGTTGATTTGCCAGTAATCCTCTGATGAGATGGCGACGAAAACGTTTAGGAACAAGCTTCTTTATTTACATGAAAACAAATTTTGCTTATGGTGTTTGTACTGAGTGCGCAGCTTACTCTATTTATTGCGTTGATTACATTTTTATCTCCACGGAAGCTTTTTAATTATTATTATTATTATTATTTAAAAAACCCACTTTCTACAGCATTCTGTACAAGTACAAGCTTCATCAACTTGTTGCCCACCAAAAAGCGGCGTGCCAAGGCCCATCGAGCACTCGGAAACTGTGATCGCATGCATGAGCAAACAGATTTTAGCACTTTTTCAGCTAAAAAAGCTCAAAAAGGGCTGCGGATATTCATCAAAAACGCAATAAAGGGCGAAAGAAACGGGCTTTTCCAAAAAGGGCGAAAAAAATGGCGAGCACCTTTGGCCGGCTAGTACACAGCGATTTTAATATCTAAGAGAGCTACATGACAATGAGTTGCGGACCATCAGGTTTCATTTATGGCCTCGTTCATTTGGTGGGGATCAGGAGACATGGAAATAGTAACGAGTGCATGATGTAGTAGTAGTAGGAGTAGTAGTAGTCGTAGCAGTTATTATTTCACAGCATTTATCAGGGCAATCCCCGTCTCTGAACATTCAAGCGATGCCGACGCGGATCCCGCGAATATTATTATTATTAATCCCCACAGACTCAGGGGCCGGCGTCGCCCACGGTACGGTCACTACGGTATTGACCGTACCACCTTTTGCCCCAAGTACTCCGTGAATCAACAAAATGCACTGATTTGGGCTCTAAATTTCCAAACTTTTCGGCTCGGCCACCCCTCCCCCACGAGTAAATTGTGCTTCAGATGGCTGACCGTACCACACTAAATTACCTTCCGACGCCCCTCAGACTGTAAGTCTTTTTACAGGGCACCCCAGATAAGTGCGTGAAATGGAGCTGAATGAAGAAAACCGTAAGTGCGTGAAATAGAGTAAAGAAAACGGTGGATGCATACTATGCCATTATGTATTGCAAAAGAGGCTGCGATGTAGCATCATCCATCATGCGGAAGCGAATTTCTTCAAGAATGCAGTCGCAAAGCATGCCATCGTCGATGAAGAAAATCGATAGCAGCCCCTGAACACGTCACGGTGCACAAACCAACTTGAGCGCGATGCGTGAAAGGACCAAACACACACGTAAACACGCAAACAGCAGGCTGGGAGCTGAACATGTGCAGCACACCCAGCATCAACACGAAGCACATGCCTCAGCAGTCCTTGTACTGTTTTAGTGTGTGAGGCTGCACAAGGAATATACCACACTGTACAAGGACTAGGTGCAGTGGAACGTCAGGAATCCGATCACCGCCATCCACAGCAAACCGCCCTGCAGGGTGCAGGTGGTTTCATTCCTGACGTGGTCTGCTGGGTCTTCAGGCGGAACTTACAGGGAAGCCCTGCGCGCGGACCAGTGGCACCGCGCGCAGGGCAGCGGCGCGTGAAAGCGAGGTGGTGGGAGACCGAGGTGCCAGCTGTACAGTGAACACGAGTCATGTCTACAAGTCTGGCGTGCAGAGTACACGACAGCAGCAGCAGTGCATGCATTGCACAGTGTACGTTAACAACTCCGGCACGCAGAGCACCAGAGAGCAGTAGCATTAGCAGTTGCATGCACTCAATCCAGTCACATCGAAACGATGCAGCTGACCAGGTCGGAGAGCAAATTGCAAGAAGAAAAGAAAATAGCCTGGCAAAACGTGAGGTGAGAATTACAAAAACAAAACAAGAAACAAGCAGCAGCAGCAGCTGTCCAGCAGCATGAGTTGAAAACAGATCAGCACGGGCATACAGTTTCAAGGCAAAATAAAACAAAACAACACAAAACACATGTTATAAGAATAAATCGCACATGGGGATGGAGTGTCTACGTGTGAGAAAGAAATGAAAAGAAGCGGGAGAGAGAGAGAGAGAGAGAGAGAGAGAGAGAGAGAGAGAGAGAGAGAGAGGGAGGGGAGAGGGGGGCTGCTTTATAGCTGCAGGACCAGGAGAATGCGCTGCGCCAGGCTGTCACCGACTAGAGCGTGATACTCTCGCACTTCAGCCCTCTTCTTCGTGCCAGCTATCTGCTCGTAGAGCTGTGTGCATGTGTGTGTGTGTATAGATGTGTGAATAAGTGTGGGTGAATGGAGAAAAGCCAGCGGGACACCATTGCATAAGTAACGTACGGTAGACACGCAACGGACGTCCAATAAGCAAGAGAGCTTCAAATAGCACAACATCAGGGATGAATTTATCATCATTTTATTGAAAAGCAGTTTTGCTACACGAACACCCAATTGTGTAGCAGTCTTTGATATTCGATTAGCACTTTATCCGTCTTCTTGAGTATTTACCACATTGTCATTCTTGAGACCGGTTCCTAAAATCCGATCTACAAAAAGCGACTGAAATGCCTTAGACTACAGAGGGACGGTTTGCACTGCTTGCACGGGTGGCAGAAAACTAGCCTCGCCTCTGTGCCTGCATCTTTCTCACGGCGGAACTATATTCCCTTTCGGCCCCAATGTCTGACACCCGCTTTCCAAAAGAACTCTGCAAAAGAGACATTTTCGGGCCAGGATCAGACATGCTGAAGTGATAACTACATCTTGAACTAGTCGTGGACAAAGAAATCAGACCCGCGAGTCCAAAATAGCGCCGTGTTTCCGTTTCAATTATAACATGCACGGTCCAAAAACCCAGGGGCTGCATGAGCCCCGGCACTGCTTTCGAACCCACAGGCCGGATTTCTTTGGCCACCAATGTACTTTTTTTTCGGAAACAAAAACTCCGCGACTTTCTCTAGTCATGTCTAAGGAGTTACTGCGCTCAATGAATTTCGTTCTGCTAAACAAAACACTTCAAGACAACGAGTAGATATGTTATGTAGAGATAGCCTTGAGAATAATGACCCTCGAAAGTGCATGAGAAAAGCATCGCTAAAGTTGTCGTTATTCATGAGTTGTGGTTATTCATGATTTGTGGTTATTCACGAGTTGTGGTTATTCATGAGGTGGACTGTATACGATCATGCAAAAGAGATTGCCTCTGTTTGAGCCTCCCTTGGAGTTACCATCGCTACGATTCCTCAGAGCTCAATTTGACAAAACTGAAAGGTTGATCAAAGTCACGAAGTTTTGTTTTCGTTTCATTCCCCACTGCCGTGTTATGCAGTTGTCAAGAACTCGACGGCACAGAGGTCCATTGAGCGTAAACACATACAGAGCAAAGGCAAAACATTAGGGCTGAAACGATCATCCATTTAGCCCAATCGATTACTCTTTATCATAACGATCGATTATTCGATTATAATCTTTAAGAGGCCGCACCTGGAATACAACATTTTGCACAAAAAAAGTGTTATGTATGTAGACCGGACGTGACCTTGACCTTCGAGCTTCATGCTCCGGCTTCGTTGTACTACACTACAAAGGCTCTTTTTTCCATTTTGACAGCATGATACAAGACGAGTCGCGCGTGCAGTGTGTAGTACCGGGGATATGCGCAGAGCAGGGAGTCGTCAAATACCCAGGTATTTGACGACTCCCTGCTCTGCGCTGCATGCACTGCGCGTATAAGAAATTAAAAATTAAAAAAAAACGCAAAATAATCGTAATCGGTAATCTAAACGATTGCTCGATCGTTAGAGTTATCAAACAAGTACTCGATTATTCGGTATAATCGTTTCAGCCCTACAAAACATCCTCACCGGGTATGGGAGTACTCCCTGATCGGGAATCAGCACACGCAGCTCCTGAAGGTCAGGTTCATCAGCACTCCCATCGGCTGCATCTACTAGACACAAAGCCAGGGCACCGGAAAGGGGGCGAGAAATCAGAGAAAACAAAAGACAGAACGGAGATGGAGATAGATGAGCAGAGGGATGAAGATGAGCGAGAGCGAGGGAGAGAGATAACAGAAACAGGAAGAGAGGCACAAATAAAACAAAAGAAAAAACCCAGCAACTACTAACCTGACCCAGTGCCAGAAGACGCATCCAAGCGAGAGTACTTAGCCACATCCAGTCTGGGTTTGCAGTCTTCGATCGGCACCCATGTCTGTCTCTCCGGGCACAGCAGATAAGACGGGGTGTAATTGCCCTGAGGACGAAGTCAGTGAAGGAATAGCACATATCAGCCACAGGCACTCTAAAATCAACAGACACTTTTGCTTGAACACGTTCACTCACCACACCACGCTATACAATGCAAATTCTGCGGTTTATCGATTAATTCGTGCAGCAACTGGGGGCTGGACAGGCTTTATGTTTGGTACAACTTCAGGTCAAATCATTCACTACCAACAGCACCACCAGCAACAGTAGCACCAGCAGCATCGCCAACAGCACCACCAGCACTGCCACCCACACTCCACTCACCAACTAACCCCCCCCCCCCCCCTCCCCCCCTGGAGAACCTCGCAGACATCACACACTAGCAGTTACATACAAAGCGTTGCGGTCGGCACGCGTACCTTGTAGCGCATCTTGACGCAGTTGTGGATGTAGAATCCCATATAGTAGGACTGCAGCTCAGGCAGTGACCTGTGCAGCTCACGTGTGTACATCACCTCCCTGCAATCAGCACGGGACAACGATACCACACAGCAAACAAGCACAGCGGCGAGACAGGTGAGATTGGTGAGACTAGTGGAACAAGCTAGGCACACTCTTTCATTACTGTAAAACATGCAATTTTAGGTGCATTATAATTTCGGTGCCAGGGACCTGCCAGGTTTCAGGTGTAATGTAGAATTAGGCGACCAGCGTTCCGATCACATACAGTGCATACTCTAGTGCCTTTTAGGTGTAATTTATATTTAGGTGCCTGGTTTCTCCACAGAAATCACCGAAATTAAAGTTACACCGAAAATTACATGTTCCACAGTATTCTTTTCGAGCTGGGTATATGTAACATAGTAAAAAAAGCAAAAAACAAAAAAACACTATCAGTGTATCCGTTCAGCACGCACAGAAGGACGGTGTTGTTGGATTGGACATTGTTATTAAAACAAGAAGGTTGCAATTTCAAAATTGGACTTCACGGAGAATTTCAAAGTTTTTAGGAAATTAGGGGTCGTCCGCAATTATCGAAAGTTTTTTCCAATCCGTAGTAGCTTCAAATTTTTCCTCACCCACCCACCCACCCCCCAGTCCGTAATAAAATATTATTGATGGACACACAACCCAACACATATGGAACAAACTCAATCAGTGCTGGTCCATGAGTCATAGTGACATCATGTATTGTATTACAACTACCATATTGATGTTTAATTGGTGATCACCGAAATGTTCTTGTTCTGCTTCTTCACCGCCTTTCCAAACAACGTCGCCTGTCTGGAAATAGTCAATAACAGTCGTCAGCGCCAGCGCTAGACGGAAGGACTTCAAAGGAGTGCATGGAAGACGGTACTCTGGACGAAGGAGACAGTGAAACTCAAAAAATAGAAAGTGTCGACTCGCCGTCGAATGCGCCGAACTTTATGATCCCCGGCCCAGGATCTAGGAGCAGCCAAGGAAGCGCGCGCGGGGGCGCAGAAACTGCCAGAACTACAAAAATATTATGTAGTAGACACTTCGCGCGCAGCCGCGCGTGGAAAACAAGGGCTACACGTAGACGTACACGTGGCACGCGCACGTGTCATTTCGGAAGTTTTTCAATCCGTAACTGGCCTTGACCCACCCACCCACTTTCGAAGCTACTACGGATTGGAAAAAACTTTCGATAATTGCGGACGACCCCTTAGAGGCCACATGCCACATACTGCTCTTTTCTCTCCGAAACTCAACAATTGCAAGCCAGCGAATAGCAAGGTCCCTGGTTCGAGTCCCGGTGGTGTGACTGATGATTTTTTTCTTTCTTTCATATCTGGCTTGCAATTGTTGAGTTTCGGAGAGAAAAGAGCAGTATGTGGCATGTGGCCTCTAATTTCCTAAAAACAAGAAGGTTATTTTATACACGAATTGCGCGCGCACATTGCGCTGACAGGCCGTAGCCTAACAGTAAGATGGCGCGTAACAGCTGTGATGCAGCACTGGCAGTCGCACTGTTACAATCGGTGCACACCATCCAAACAAGGCACACCGTCGAGGAATGAAATGCAAACAAGGCACGCTACCTGGGACAATCGTGCCGACTGACCGCGTTGGCGTTACTCGCGAGGCCAGGTCAACGTTTCGCAACACTATTCAAACCATACCTGAGCGCGGTGTAGGTGCCAAGCGAGAGATGCGGCATATCCGGATCATAGTACGCGTACACAGATGACAGAGCGTTGGGCAAGATGTCAATGACTCCAACGGCAATCAGTTTACCTGCACGCATGCATGAACACATGCACAGACACGTGGACAGACAGATAGGCGGATGCCAGAACACACGTAACAGGAAAAAGAGCAGAAATGGAGACAGAGGAGCTGTATGTCAGGACTAAGCACACGGAGCAATGGGTGAACACATTATGTACATGTACACAAGCAATCAGACGCACACACACACACACACACGTGCGCACACACACACACACACACACACACACACACACACACACACAGTGGATCCTGGTTTGCACCAGAAATACAGGGTATATGAAGACCACTAATACTCTGTTCACATCGGTGATAGGTAGTTCTTCATTCTTGATAGTGAGTCATTATTCTTAATGACTGACATTGTGTAGCATAAGGCAATGACTGAGTTGCAGAACAGTAGGTGGAGATGTATACCGTAAGACCAATAATATTCGAAAAGTCTACGAGGAGACAACAATCTATCGTTAATTGACGTTAAAATATCTGGTCTTACAGTATCCAATTTCAGGTTATGCTGAACTTAGCGTCCCAAGGTCTATAGCTATAACTTGACAATGATCACTGACACATACCATCAAGGTAGTAGTGGCGATGAAACGATCCATACTCTATACCGTCAGCGGCACTCTTCCGCTGCATGCACACCGTGTAGCAAACAAGCATCCACGTGCACACACAGACACAGACAGACAGATACACACGCAAACACATAGACACGCGCGTACGCGCACACACACATGCACACACACACACACACACGCACACACACACACACACACACACACACACACACACACACACACACACACACACACACACACACACACACATGCACACACATAGACACACACACACGCGCGCACACAGACTTCAACAGAATGAAGAGAGAGCATGACCATGGCGCATCCACTCCAGATTCTCAGCGAGGAAAGGAGCAAACGTTAGCGAATGTGATGGTGGTACCAGGGTTGTGTACCACCAACACCAACAACGGCGTATATTCTAATTTCAGAAATTTTAGGTGCTCAATATTTTCGGTATGATGGCGAAAGGCCAGGTTAGGTGAACAGAAATTGTCGGTACAGAGAAGCAGTTCCCTATTGGATTATGTATGTTATTATTTGTTCGGTGTTTTGAAATTTTAGCTATGAAACAGATGCACCGAAAGTACCGAAAATAAAAGTACACCGACAATTTGTGAAATTACAGTGTGCCTGCTGGACACACGGGTCTACTCTTGAGACAATGCATGGACACAGTCACCCTGGTAGCAACGCAGGGAAACGTAGCAACGGCAGGTTTGCATTTCCCGCCTTGCATTCCACAAACCCCATGGGCCTGCGTAACACAGCGAGGAATGCACCTAGTCCTGGCCTGCATGCCGCAGAGACACTACGTCCAGGTCAGCAGGATGCAAGTTCAACTGAAATCCCGGTCAACCTGACAATGTTACTAGAATCCTAGTTGGCCATCAAAGATAAACAGGCAGCAGAAGCAGCAGCAGCAGGAGTAACAATGGATGGTGTTCTGGTGCAGGGGGGAATGGGGTACTAATAATACCCCATTTTTGCGGTGAAAATTATTTTTGGCTGTTTTTTTGCGGATAAAAATAATGTTGCTCCGGTTGTTTTGTACCCCTTTTTTGGTCCTCAGTCTGATTATCTGACGTCATGAAGAAGACAAAGAGGTTGAGAAAGCAGAAGCAGAAGCTCATAGTCATCATGAAGAACAATTTGAGCATGACAATGAACTTCTGCTTTCTCAACCTCTTTGTCTTCTTCCTCCTTTTTCTCCTGAACAAGTTGCCTCTTTGTACGTACATAGTCGAGAAGAATCTGAAATTCAGAATCCATCTTAACATGTTATAGTCTGAAAAGAAAAGGTTAGCCCGGCGCAAGGCATCGTCTGCTTCCGACTATGCTCTCGGCTTCCGACTATGCGAAGCTGCTACACACCACCAACAGCTAAGTTTTCCTGAGAAGAGACGGCACAAAGAGCATTACAAGCCCACCAGTGAGGCTCAGGATTCGAGCAGCACGCCGAACCACCGTTCGCGTCAAGATTGAAACACACGATAGCAAAGAAGACGGGACAATCATGTCGTGCTCCATCAGTAAGCGAACAGCTTCACGCAAGCGACCAAGGTACGAAGTGGATGATGAAGATGAATACGAGTGCTTTGTCAAAGATCAACTGGTGCAAGACTTGGAGACGATCATGACGAGTTGAACTGTCAAGGTATGAGTGTTATGTAGTTGCAGTCATCTCCGAGTTTTGTTCCAGTTGTACTTACTCGTATTCATCTTGATCATGTACAGTGAAACCTGTCTAAGACGACCGCTCAAGGGACCTTCAAAACACAGTCTCTGCTACCAGGTGGTCTCCTTATCCAGGGTGCGACGCAGGTGTCCTTCTACATGTCCTTCTACATGTCTGCTCATTTCTCTTGCTACCTATCTACCTCACTTCCATAGTGTCAGAACGCAACAGGATATCATAGCATACCTGCCAAGTACCCAGATTTTTTCGGGATTATCCCTCAATTTTGGATGAACTCCCACGATCCCGAAATTCCTGTCGATTATCCCGAAATTTTCTGTACAAGAAACAAGCTTGAATTGTACTTGGAGCACTTCAAATGACTTGTCACAGGCCAGTAATTGTCCTTATTGATCCCGGACCGCCATAGCCTGCAGTACCAGTGGATCTACCAGTGCTCCTTCCATGAGCAATCTCTGAAAAACCTCCGCTTTTGAGTCTTGAACATATGTAAGTGTGATCCCATGATCACCATCAATCATCTATTATCGAAATGTTGGTGCCATCAAAGGTTGAAAAAGGATTTTTTGGTAAAAATATGACATATCCCGGGATTTTGCCATGGCGATCCAGAAAAAGCACTCTCAGTACTTGGCAGGTATGTCATAGTGATACAAATCCTCCTTTGAATTGCATGATGATAGTGAACGATATTATGGCATCAATCCAAAATACCAAAAAAATAGTTTGCCCGGCGCAAGGCTTCATAATGACGTCAGATAATCAGACTGGGAACCAGAAAAGGGGCACAAAACAACCAGAGCAACATTATTTGTATCCGCAAAAAACGGGCCAAAAATAATTTTCACTGCAAAATGGGGGTACTGTTAGTACCCCATTCTGCACCAGAACACCTTCCATGCATCAAGAGTCCATAATCCCAAGAGTGTGCAACTCTGTACATGGGGATCCGCGCGGCGGAATTCCGACATAACGTCAAAAAATGACGCATACGTTCGTTGCGCTTGTACTACTCCCCGGTTCCAAGCACCGCAGACTGCGGAGTTTTGCCCTCTGTGCCTCAGCGGCATGACGTGATGTTGGAATTCCGCCGCGCCATGGGCCTTCAGCAGCCAGACCCCAGTTGCACACTCTTGGGGTTATGGACTCTTGATACTACTAGCAGCAGCGGTGGAAGTAGCAGCAACTGCAAAGATCTCGAAAAGGACAACAGCAGCTGTGCATCAACTTACGGTCAAGGGCGTGGTGACTAGAAAGCGCTCCCACTGTACAGGACAAAGACGTGTGAAGTCACATACACAGCACACATACACAGCATACATGCACGGCACACATGCACGGCACACGTGCAGAGCACACATGCACGGCACACATGCACAGCACACGTGCAGAGCACACATGCACGGCACACATGCACAGCACACGTGCAGAGCACACATGCACGGCACACATGCACAGCACACGTGCAGAGCACACATGCACGGCACACATGCACAGCACACGTGCAGAGCACACATGCACGGCACACATGCACAGCACACGTGCAGAGCACACATGCACGGCACACATGCACAGCACACGTGCAGAGCACACATGCACGGCACACATGCACAGCACACGTGCAGAGCACACATGCACGGCACACATGCACAGCACACGTGCAGAGCACACGTGCAGAGCACACATGCACAGCACACATGTACACCGTGTCAAATTACTCATCATCGCAGTGCGGCCAATGCGGCTGCCCTGTTTTACATCGCTTTCAGGGTATTAAAAACCAAACAAAAACAAAAACAAAACAACTGAATGTTTTTTTGCCATGCTTGGTGAGTGTTTATCAAACTAAAGGCTACGCAAATGATATCATTGCAAGTACTTTGCTTGGTGTGGTAAAGCAGTGTTTCGTGTGAATTGGCAAATCACAGCGGCAAACTAGTGTCAGTAGTGATTTACATGCAGTGGCAAACTAGTGATTTGCGATGGTACACCATACCAGACACCTGAAATGGTGACGTAATTGCATACCCTCCTTAGTTTACAATGCATCCAGTCACATTCAAGTATGACGCCACACGTTTAGCCTCCCTGATCTGGATCCCCACCCCCGTTCTCGGAGTCTCGTCCGGAGTCTCTCCTTACGAAATGTTCCAGGAAATCACGCTTGACAATAGTGAGTCTTCACGAAAGTTCGCCGTACAGGGGTTCGTCGTAAACGAATAATTTTGACTTTTTTGCCGCTTTCCATTGAAAAGCCAATTTCCGTGACTCAAGATGGGTCAGAAAGGCATAGGATTAGGTTTGACTGTAGTTTTTGGGGCCGCTTTCCATTGAAAAGCCAATTTCCGTAACTCAAGACGGGTCAGAAAGGCATAGGATTAGGTTTGACTGTAGTTTTTGGGGCCGCTTTCCATTGAAAAGCCAATTTCCGTGACTCAAGACGGGTCAGAAAGGCATAGGATTAGGTTTGACTGTAGTTTTTGGGGCCGCTTTCCATTGAAAAGCCAATTTCCGTGACTCAAGACGGGTCAGAAAGGCATAGGATTAGGTTTGACTGTAGTTTTTGGGGCCGCTTTCCATTGAAAAGCCAATTTCCGTGACTCAAGACGGGTCAGAAAGGCATAGGATTAGGTTTGACTGTAGTTTTTGGGGCCGCTTTCCATTGAAAAGCCAATTTCCGTGACTCAAGACGGGTCAGAAAGGTGACCAGTAGACGGATTAGGGGAGCTTTACTGTATCTACTTCCTCCGTATACAAAAACTTCGTGACTTTTTTTGGAAGCTGCGCACAGCTCTGACATTGTTTCGTTTGACTTGGAATAACACTCGTGGCATTGTCTAACCTGTTTACAAGCTATATACAAAGAAAAAAGCAACTCAGACGAATGAGATTGAGTTTTTTTCAGAGTCTTCGTCGCTCATGTCATTGTCACCTGACGACGCTGACTCCGCATCGTCAACAGTCGCTGCTTCCGCTCGCATTTCGTTCAGATTCTTGTCACCTGCAGTGATGATCCGACGCTGGACTTTGGCTACGTCCTCTTCATCTCTAGAGCTGTGTACGAATCGGTGTCAACTATATTCAGTTGTTCCAACCCGCAACCTCCGTTATGCCGTGAAACGAGTCGTACAAGCACATCCACACGCTTCGCATTTTCTCGCCAGGATAATCCTCCCAAGCATTCTACAATGGCTTCGAGGAGGTCCCTGCGATTCCCCTTGGCGACAAAGGAGGTGCCTGACTGGAGAGAGGCGAAGAAAGCCAGGCCATCGACATTCTGATCCTGAGTCTGCGCTGGTTGCACGACGACTGAAATGTTTCATCTTGCCGTGCGAGCGAAACAAATCGATGTTCTCACGCTGCGTAGTTATGGGACCGCGCACCGCAAGTACCAGAAAACGAGCCTGGCCAGTTTCAGGGCAGCGAGTGCCGCGTGACTCCGTGTTCCAGCCACGAGCTACACTTCGTCACTAGTGCACTGTGTCAGTTTCGAGCAAGTAAGTGTTGGCTTTTTTTCATTTGACTCTTGAGTTTCTGTCGGCAACGTCCTCACACGCATGGCGTACGTGGAGAATCTGTTCGGGACCAACCAAACTCACCTCGACATGGACGTGGGTTGTCGATGACAGCCTTTGGCGCCGTTCGTGGAGCAGGTTCTTGCTCAAAAACACCGTTCAAAAAAGTCACGAAGTTTTGTATACGGAGGAAGTACTTCCAGGACTCCTACCTTCTTCAGCGTCAGGTCTTCCGGTTTATCATCGTGCACGCGTGCCTGATACTTGCAATAGAGAGCAAAGGACTCATCGCGCGTGGCTTTGAACACCGGGTGTGAAGCGCCGCTCGGCACTAGCGCGGTCTAGATCAGGAAAAAAACAACACGGAATAAAAAAGAATAAGTGAGTGCTGGCAGCAGTAGGAGCATTGGTGTGTGCAGAATGGTAGTGCTTGTGCGAGGGAGACATGGGAAAGCACGGCCAACTCGTTATGGTGGAAGAGAATGAGAGAGACTATGTGTGTGTGTGTGTGTGTGCGTGCGGGTGATAGATAGATAGAGATAGATAGATAGATAGATAGAGAGAAAGAGATAGATAGAGATAGATAGATAGAGAGAGAGAGACAGCAGCTCGTTTCATGCCCCAGCCAAGTGCTATAGGCTGTATAGATACAGTACAGCCCTAAACCGTTCCACGTAGATATCTGACCACATATGTGTAGCAATTTTGTTGAATTTTGTTCTTGTACAGTACTATCGGGCACGAACCGCCAAAGAACGGCCAGGCTAGAATTTCACCAATTTTTAAGAACGGCGCAGGCTGGATTTTTTTGCAGATAAGAACGGAAACCGTAATGTACACTATAATGTACACTCAGACGTAAAACTCAGCAAAAATGTACATGTAAGACTGTACCATCGGATACGAACGAAACTGCTGTGTTCGCTAAAAATAAGAACGGTCTATGCTAGATCCCTGACCCCCAAGTTCCCGACGGTACGGTACTAACAAGACTGAAAATGGTACTTGTGTCAGATGTGGCTGCACTGGCGATGAACCCAGTGATTGGTGTTATCAAGATGGGATGTCGAACAGAAATTGCTTCATTTCTGAGAGCAGTGTAGTACAATACGGAACGGTACAGCTGGGGAACGGCTAGGTAATAGCGAAGTCTGTCATAACTTCCTATATCACTTCCCCCGTATTCTCCCCCCCCCCCCCCAGACAAATGGTTTACTGGACTGCAGCAAGTAACCCCCCCCCAGACAAATGGTTTACTGGACTGCAGCAAGTAAACTCAGCACCACTCGTGTACTGAAACGTTTTAAAAACCATCACTACATGGCAAGCGGGGTGTGCTTTTTGCAGTGATTTCACAGACCAGCCAGCCACATCTACTGAGATGGACAGCGAGATAGGTCACTTGTTTGAAACAAACAGTACAATAAATAGAAATAAGCCAAAGTCAAACTGAAGAAAACCTACAGTGAGCCGATGCACAGGTTCCTGCCCGGGTATGGTCTCGACTGCAAACTCTTCTAGTGTCTTGCCGGCTGCTTGTGTCTTGCCGGCTGTAGTTGGAGATGAGCAAGACATGACACTATCGACACTTGCTGAGTGGCTGACAGTCGCCTTTGCCGCATTGCCACCGCCCTGCAAGTACACAAGATTGCGAGAGAGAGAGAGAGAGAGAGAGAGAGAGAGAGAGAGAGAGAGAGAGAGAGAGAGAGAGAGAGAGAGAGAGAGAGAGAAGAGAGAGAGAGAGAGAGAGAGAGAGAGAGAGAGAGAGAGATGGAGAGAAAGAGAGAGAGAGAGAGAGCGGGGGAGAAAGAGAGAATGCAAACTCTGATTAAACAACACACCGGCATGTAATTTCCTCTCCACAAGCAGGCCCGGAGCCAACTACTGTGGGATGCTACGGCTCCAGGTCGGCCACATGGTCCATCGTTTCCCCAAGGCCAATTTCAGTATCATGGAGGATGCACCTCTAGCTCTATGCATCATAAGTGGGATTTTCTCAACTACCCACTCTGCCAGCAACAGATATACAGCTAGCACAGTAGTCCTCGCTGGGCAAGAAGAGCAGTTTAGGAGGGAGAGACTCAGCAAAGAGTGTACGGTGCCGGCTTATCGGTACTCCTACACATTTCATTTCAGGCTGAACATTCCGTGAACGTTGAATTTGGTAAAAACTGGGAAGGAAATGATCGTACCCGTCGCACCAGTAGCGCAGGCCCCGCGAGGATTTGGTGTGTTCAGACAGTGCTTTCACTTTTAGAAGAAGTAACATCTTCTACATTAAACTTGAAGGTCAAACGGGTGTACAACTTGCAACCAATTGTGACTTGCTAGTCAAGTGCACACATTCTAGACGAGGTGACAGAGACCTTAATGTACGGTGCGACGTATAGTCAGGTGTGATTCGGATTCGGTGAAATAATGGTACATGCCTTTCGGCCATTGAGCAATGACAGAATTCACAATCGGCAGAAATAAACTAAAAATCAACACCCTGGAAATTATGAAAAATGTTTTTTTTTTAGAATACCGGAGAAGCCAATGTAAACAGCACAGCGACACGGGAAAGAGACAGAAATAGTCAAATCAGCAGTACCTACCGGATTAGCAGCAGCGTCGCCAGCAGAGGCGGAGGCCTTCATTGCTTTGCGCTCTCGTCGCAGGTCCTTTGCCTTTCGGCACGGAGGTTTGGTTGGATCAGCACCAGAACCAGAACCTGGGTACAGTATGCAGCAAAAAACAAAAACAAAAACACAACAAAAATATGCCCACCACTAGTTGAGATAGCAGATACATCAATACCAAGGATCAAGAATACACGTAGAATTATATGTTTTATTCGTATGTCTGTGAAAAAAATTGCGGCAATGTCCAAACAAGATATGCATTGTGCGAGAAGATATCCGTGTTGTCCAAACAAGTCATAATGTACCGCTAAGTTTGCCTCGGTCAGTGTGACTGCACAACACACATCAGTTTTCAATCATTCAGAAAAGGGCTAGACCATGCATAGAAAATTAGGAATCTCACCCACTGCAGTATTAATTCAACTCAAGTTCAACACCACAATGCATAAATTTTAGTCGGATTTCCAAAGCCTTATGGATGCCTATCCCGGAAGAATCTACAATCACACTCAATGTTCTGTACGGGATGGTGTATACATGCAAACGGAGGAAGCCAACACAATCAACTGCAGGGCATACACCCACTCTCTCCACATTGGCCAGTGTTCCCACTGCGCCTTGAGGTGTTGCAATGAATAAATATATTAAATACAAATTCGGATGTTGAGCCAATAGTAATATGTAAACAGAAAAGGATCTATAAGTTACTAGTCATAACTGGTAACTTATAGGTCCCTTTCTCTTTAAATAAAATACAGTGAGTATAAACACTGTGCATGACCGGCGCATAGCACTTACGTGGAACAGGACGCTGCTCAGTATGGCCAGGGCTGCACGAGTCCAACATCGAGCACACCAAGAATGCAGGCAGAGCATGGCACAACCAAGTCAGTAGTCAGGAGGCGGTCATTCGAATAGTAACAGAACAGAGTTCGTACTTGTAGTTGGCCGGTGTCCTCAAGCAACGCGGTAAACACAAAGGAGTCAGATGGTACACAGTACTGCCGGACGCCGAAGAACTGGACGGCCAGCCTCCTAGCCTAGACCGTTCTTATTTTCATGTATTACAGTCTATGTGCAGTTGAGTCACCGCGTATACATTTGTGTGCAGTGCTTGGTGAAATTCTAGCCTGGTCGTTCTTCGGCGATCCGTTCTTCGGCGCCCGACAGTACTGTAGGCAAGAAGGCCAGGGGACCACACTATACTACTCATCCAATGAGCTCATACTAGTATCACTCAAAGGAGATACGCAACAGTCACGCGCATACAAAGTGAGGAGTGCACACGGCTAGGACCACTAACCAGTGCATGGATTGCTCCAGCAGTACATGACCCCTAACGTGTGCATGGATGGCTCCAACAGTACATGACCCCTAACCAGTGCATGGATGGCCCCAACAGTACATGACCCCTAACCAGTGCATGGATTCCTCCAACAGTACATGACCTCTAACCAGTGCATGGATTGCCGCAGTCCAACAGTACATGACCCCTAACCGGTGCATGGATTGCTCCGACAGTACATGACCACTAACGTGTGCATGGATGGCTCCAACAGTACATGACCCCTAACCAGTGCATGGATTGCTCCAACAGTACATGACCCCTAACCAATGCATGGATTGCTCCGACAGCACAAGACCCCAAGAGTGTGCAACTCCCGTCCATGGGGTCTACGACAGTAGAACTTCACGAAATGTGCTCCACAAAGGCACTCACCAAACAGTCGCTTCTGAGCCATGTCTAGCAGCAGAAGTAGCGCTACAAGTTCCACTTCCTGCAGAGCACACGAGTACTTGAAGTCAACTACCTTGTCCCACACAGAAATAACTACAACTACACCGCTATTCACTTACGAGCAAGTTTGAAAACTCATGTTGGACAGGTCGATAAGACGGACCTTTGCATAGACTGCCAGCGTAACTCATGAAGTAAGCAAATAATGACATTCTGACACGACCGTTCCCTTACGACGCCTATTCCGAAACACAAAGCATGAATTCATACACATGTAAAAGCCGCAAACTCGCCATCTGTAACCCCCACAAGTTGGGCCACAACTCAACCCTATTGTAGAACCCATCTCCGTACCATCGCCACTGCCACTCGCAGATGACGAGGACGCTGATGCTGCAGCTGACGTAGCTGCGGGAGCCGGCGTGGTGTCAGCAGGGGTAGTTAGAAACTTCGTCATCGTCTTCAACACTTTCTTCTGAGACTGCGAGAGCTTGAAGTTGACAGCATCACACCTGTGCATGGCAGTAGCGGTGCAGAGCAAAAGAACGGCTCAGCTAGATTTACAGCAAACAATATGTGCAGAGATAGGTTGCACTTGCCTGGTGACAGTGCTCTGCATTGCAGGCCAATGCAGGGTAGAAGGTTGAGCACAAGTTGACAACAGCAATACGACTGTTTAGGTTGATCTCAGGCTTTCGTGGTTTCTATGCTAATTGCTCATAAATTGTGGTGCACGTTTGTTCATGGTGTTGGATTTGAGAGAGAGAGAGAGAGAGAAAGAGAGAGAGAGAGAAAGAGAGAGAGAGAGAGAGAGAGAGAGAGAGAGAGAGAGAAAGAGAGAGAAAAAACGAGAGGTCTCACTTGATCGTGTAGGCAGGGCAACACGTCTTGCGCATGTCCATCTTGTACAAGTACTGGCCACTCCTAAAGTACAGAGGGATAGCAGAGAGTGCCAATGTATACAGCGAGACCAAACAACAATCCAACCCCTAGATGGAAAACATATTGCTATTCACAAGTTGACGTTATTCGGCAGGTTGATAGTATGCAGTCAACCGGTTACCAGGTCTGAAGAGAGTCCTGTTATTCACCAGTTGTTACACCCAATGTTGTAACCGTATGTCCGCACCTTTAAAGCGATGGCGGTATATTCGATTATAAAGCCATGGGCTTCATAAATGTAATGACATTTGAAGTATGTGTTGTAACATGAAGGAATAAGTACTATGCTAACAAACTTACAGTCCAGCAGGAATGGTGAACAAGTGGATTTAGATTGAAATTTTTCTGTGGACTTTGACTTTTATGGCATGGCGTAGCGAGTGAGTTATTTTGCATCTAAAATAGCTAGGAAAGCAGCGGTATTTTGAATATAAGGCCATGGCTTTAAAGGCGCTGACATACAGTATGTTATTCAGGACACTATATGTTATGGACTCGGATGGAGAGACAAGGATAAATTTATAGAAAAGAAAAGGACCAAGGAACTACAAGTTTCATGTTATTGCAAGAGCTGATTGTTTAGTAGCTGCTGGTGGTGTTAGTGGACATTATAGCGTAACTTGTAGTTCCTTCGTCCTTTTTATTTTCTATAAACTAGAGGTTATGGGCATGAAATCATGGCGCAAGATTACACATGCTTCGTTTGGAGTGAAAGCCAGTGCTAGTTTCTAGGTGACGGTTACGTGATTACGTCATCAGTAGAATGACGATGCAATCGCATACCTGCAGTGGTACCACTGCTAGCACATGTACACATGTACATGCAAGGTGTGTCTTAAAGCACACACCCACACACACTATCACAGCGGGCCTCTCTCTTTTCAATTGATCAGCATGAACAAGACCCTGGTGTGCATGTACATGTACACATATCCGACAGTGCAGGTGCTTGATTTTCTTGTACACATGCAGGAGCAACCCCCCATAGGAACTACGATCCCAACCTTATGTCTTGTGGCCAATGTCAACACCGAGTATATCCCTTCCCTTTATCAAATCATCCCCCCCCCCCCCCCCCCCCCCCAGCTTGTGTGGCCATTTAAATCCAACTCGTACCGAAAAACCGGCGCCACGACAGCGCGGCAAACACGGACTTTGCACGCAAAAAAACGCCAATGGCTGCATGGCCGCCAGTGCAAGAGTTGGATTTCAATGGACGGACAGGAGCATGGTGGCAAATAATTACGATGCCGGGCTAGGGGAGGCCGCCTGGCGAGCTACGTCAGTACTGGCACATGCTTTCAAGTCATTGCAGGCAGGGCTAGAAAGACACACTGCGCACTGCCTATCCGAACTATTAAAAATATCTACAGCGTGTGGCGTGGAGATAAATGAAATTTTGGAGAAAAAAAACGTTAAAAAAACCCAGTCACGCCATTGAAGCAAAGGAAGTAGTACTCTGAGGAACAATTAATCGGTTCAAGCCGAAGTTCTCACACAAACTCAATGTTCACTGGGATTCTTGAAACTCGTTCGTCGAATTACATTTCGCCATGATTTTGGCACTTCAATCCACGGGCAAATATCGCATGCCGCAGTGACACCAAACTGAAGGAAAGGCAAAGGCGCAGTGGAGCTGAAGGTTTACTGAGGAGACCCATGCTTCTGCAAGCGTGCCACCCCAGTCAGAAATGATAATCACGCAATGGGTTTCTGCGGACAAGTTCGGATAAGACAGGGGCAGTCCGTACCTTTGCCACTGGTTTGTGAAGAGCTCGGCAAAGTCCTCGCACTGCAGCTTGAACACCCACATGCCTATGTCGCACACGTAGGTGTGCATCGCAGACGGCATGCGTATCAGCCGTCCAGACAGTTACACGTGCACACACATATAGGGAATCCACCCATACCCATACCCATACACACACCATGTACCACACACACACACACACACACACATACACACACACACACACACACACACACACACACACACACACACACTAAGCCTCATGTTGCTGGCTCCAAACATACCATTCTATGGAATACATACCCATACACACACCATGTACCACACACACACACACACACGCACGCACACACACACACATACACACACACACACACACACACACACGCCTTATCAGCAACGGGTAGCATTTAACCAGGCAGCCCAGGAGGGAACCCTGTCCTGTGGAGATCATGCCGAGATACCACATGAGCATTGCAAATAGCATTGCACAAGTGAATCTAAAACAACAACTTCTAAAGAAAGAAATGTGCTCATTGAGTGGCACATGCATTACATGTAGCACTGTCTAATTCAGTATGACCAGTCGACGGCACTAGGCGTTCACCGCTCAACATACAATGCAGCACATATGTGACTTCTCAACTTGATCTCCACATAGTGAATTACCCCCCCCCCCCCCCCCCACCCAGGGCTTTATCATGCCAGCCTTCGGCCTTTACACCATGCTCCCCATTGTGTACATGATGATAACTGACCAGTGTAAGGCAAAGAGCAAACACCGGAGATGCCAGAAAACCAAGGAAACCACCTCTAGGTCTCTGGCTTGCACTCCAAAGCGGAATCGCACTGAACAATCTGTATTTTCCTGCTTTTGCCTAACACTGATGGCAGCCGCCTATCACATGCGCGTGGGGGCAGGGGTCAAGATGGACCATAACGGGCTAAACAACGGCTGCTTGTGCTGCTGCTGTACCTGCGCCAGCCTCTGTCGAGGAGGCCCTGGTAATCAGCAGAGGTCAGTTGATGCAGCCACATTCCTGTTTTTGCAAGGCCATGCCGACAGAAAGAAGCACAATCAAACCGCCACACTTTCAGGCAATTAGAGAAAAACCGAGAGTGAAACCCAACAACGTACGAGATCAATTAATGATACAGCATAAGGGAAGTGGGTCAGGAGGTGACATCACATATCTACCTGAGTGTACCCTATGCACATCATGAGTCATCATGTAACATACACATTACACAGCGGTCTACAGCTTGGGGTAACATAACAATGATATAGTTTACGGGGCCAGGACATACTTATTTCTTCTCATATTCAAAGTTTCGTGCCACCAGAAATTTATTCTGCACAAGATATGCGCTATGGTCGGAATACTATCTTTTTTGCGAACAAAAATCCTATCTGATGCGAGCGCACACAAGTTGAAAAGCCGAACGTAATTGCATAAGGTTATAGATTAGCTGTTACTGTAATAATTGTGAAAAGAAGAAAGACAAAATGTTACGAGTTATGACTAACTGTCCACCAACGTAACCAGATCTTATACAGCCAGCGAGTGCTTTCTTCTTTTCACAATTATTTAATTGGCTCACCATCCGAGTTACATGTTACCGTAATACTAGAACAATGTGTCAACATGATGGTGCTTGTACGTTATTGCATGGCTAACATCGTAGACTCTCAACATCAGCCATTCCACCAATCTATTCCCACGGACAGCCAATGCCACGACGTTCATGATACGATCCGGCACCGGCAACATAATCGGGATTGATTCAAACCCGAAACATCCAGCGCTTCCTGCCTGGGTAGTGGTACTGCTGCTTGGACGTTAAGCTTCCAAAGCCAACAATAATGAACATAGCGCATGTGGAGTCAGCAAGCCAGTTTGAACTTTGCAAGATAAAGCTAAGGGCGCGTTCAGACTACCGATAAAAAGTGACGGAACGGGAAAGTTTCCAAGGTGATTTGATCACGTGACGTTACTGGCACTTTGCCGGCGGAAAAGGTTTACTGCCGTGACTGCTGCGGCCGAAACACCATTCCGGTAGTAAAAAAAGTGCTCAGGCTGGGAGCAGGGGAAAATCCCTTGTCAGTGCCGCGGTGAGAGCTGCACAAGTAACGTTAGCTTATCGGTAGTGCAAATGTCCCTCACGGTTCATCGCCATTCACGGTTTCTCGGTAGTCTGAACATGCCCTACGTAAGCATGCAATACGTGTCCCAGAAAACCAATAATTCTAAAACACCAGTTTCCAGGTCTGCAAATTGCAACTTCTAGCTTTGAATTGTTCGATATAGCTGAGCTTCCAACCAAGCGTTATCTCCATCTGGACTGTACATACAGACTGCAGGGTGCTGAGTAGATTGTACATGATGACCTTGGCCTGAACCCTGAGTTTCACTGGGAATTATTTATATCTTTACAATGAATAATTCGTTTCATGTCAGCGTCTGGCGTTGAGATTACAGTGGCAGATTTTCAAGAAACCAAACCAAGTAGTACATAAGTATACTAGTCAGCCAATTTCGTGGGTGCTGAGACTGTGTTACGACCTCAGCGAAATCATCGTCGGTGAAAGGATGAATTAAAATAATAATTTCGAATTTATGGGTACATTTCTCACCGTCAGAGATTGATCCCTTCGGGTTTTTGCAGTATCCACACCTGTGGCCATCACCTCCTTCTCGCTTGAAGTACTCCGCTATACTAGACATACTGCCAACGTCGAGGTGAGAGCACGTCGACTCTTTTTCAAAAGCAAAGAGAGTCGTCCTTTGGTTTCGAGTGAGATGAAAAATGTGAAACCAGGAAATGGCTCGAGAGGGAGTTGTTTTTTTACCACTCTTGGACTTGCACGAACACTCGAGTGATCGCGCTAGCGCTGAATCAGGACGAGGAGGTACGCACGTGTTCAGCTTGGCAATGAGAGGGTTGTTTTTTTTACAACTCTTGGATGTGCCCTATCATCACTCGAGTGATCGCCGAGCTACAGCAAGTAGTAGATCTACTCTTTCGGACGCCCGGCCTGCCAGCTACAAATCCGGTCACGTCTGTTATCATGGTTATCAGTGTCCCGGGTCTACCGGGCTTTCTGACCATTGCAAGAGTCACAAAAACTGGCTTTTCAACGAAAAACCGCCCAAAACCATTGATTGGCATAAAGCCGGATTGTTTACTTGCATGCAGTGAGTATTTGTGTTGTGTGTGTCCACGGACATTCCCTAAATGTACATGAACATGTAGTTACGGGCAGTTCTTAGTTCCAACCTGCCATGCCGGGGTTAGGGGAGTAGCCTGCACCCATGGTACCCGGCCGCTTGTTAGTACGACATTGGTTACAAGACAAACCTCATTTTCACGGTAGATTTGGCGATCAAAAATCCCCTGACGAACAAAACTTACCGTCGCGTTCAGCCGTCCCACACAGGCTCGATTCTTTCATTGCAACACAAAGCACATGACAATCATGGACTATGAATCTGCGCGGCACGGGGCTCAAATGAACGATTATCATCGGAAGAAGATTAGGACTGCATTGGCGCATCTTCTTTGTACTCATTCAATTGTACAAAACTGTGCTAAGTCATGATGATAACCCAGATAATGGACTGTGAGTCTGTGACACGCGCACATACATGGACAAGTAGTCTACTACTGAGTATGAAGAGATAACACATGACAATGTCATGATTTGATTGTATTGAACTATTGTTGACGGTATCAAGCAGCAACAAGACTAGTGGTACCAGCAGACTACTAGTACTAAGAATATACAGAAGCCTTACTTGGTAGTTTAACATGTTTTTCGATTTTGACAGTGCCAACCGGGTTATGGTTGTAGTCAGGAGCACTACGCGTCCTCGCCTTGTAACATGCTGTCAAAATCGAAAAACATAGTACTAAGAAACAGTTTTAGTAATATCGATCAGGCGCGTGCGCCGGTGCCCTTCCCGGGAAAATTTTCAAAAAAGCAGCAAAATCCTGCATTTTGAGCAAAAAAAGGGGGGTTCCGGGTACCCAGGAACCCATACGGCGCACGCGCCTGTCGATAGGATCAGTCACTATTATTACAGGGTGCAACAGAGCTCTCCGGGCCATTGGAGAATAATGTTCAGTCACCTCCAGGAGGGTCTAGTTGGCTATTAGAGCGCAGTGTAATGATGGAGGATCAGTTCTCATGAATAGTAGCACGGAACCTTTAGGCAAGAGGACTTTGGCAACGGATTATCTTTGGTGCAAACCGAATCTAGAAAGTAGTTCGGGAAAAGCAGCCTGAGAATCGACAATACGTGTACTGTGTTTCAGGAGTCACTGAATCAGATGTATTGCCGGTGAATGCCCACCGCATGACCGTTTCTAGGCTTTAAAATGCGGTCAGTGAAATACAGAAGTACAGTGCACATCAGTGGGCAAACCGTGTGAGCAACTTGGCACGTGAGTGTTTTAGGTCTACATATATCAAATGATGTAAACTAGCAAAGAAGTACAAAAAAATGCCAGGGAGACACAAGTGGTGAAAAGTGATCATAGCTTCGCAGGCAAGCTTCAGTGTCAGCTCAGGCTGCATCCACACATGGTACAAAGACTCGAGTAGCAATCCTCGCATAAACTACTTGCAACAAGTTTGCATTCAAACGGGAACGATGCAGTTGCATGCTAGGCACATAAAAAGTGGCCCGCGCGGCCAGATATCCATGGCGAAGCGCGGCAAATTTGATTTTTGTGCCAAACCAGCTGCACATAATGAACGCGTGTCGATGTGCTTCACTAAGGTCCGCTCCTGAACATATTACTTCGCTACACTCCCAACAAGATGCCCACTGGGACATTTCTCCCCATTTTTCGTACAGGCCCTTTCTGGCCTTTGACTTCAAATTGCCGATCCTCTCTACCTCAAACTTCCGATATTATTGTGCACAATAACCACGCAACGTTCAGCAAACAAATTCAGCTTGTCAGCTCTTCACATACTAGTAGCGCCATTACGTTCTTCTTGACCCACAGCCGCACCCTCAGCCGATAAAAGCACAAGCCTGGGTATGCTCAGATAGTGTCCTCCAGCCAAGTCCTGCCGATCGACAACAACACGCTATGGCAGATGGCACACCTTACCACTTTTTCGACTTGATTGAAAAATGTACGCAAAACTCCTCTTCCGTGGCAAAGTCATCTTCAAAGCAGGTCCAGGATTGCTTTCGAGGTGGATGTGATGTTCACATGTTGCGCATGTGACTACAGGTACTTCAAAAAACATGGCATGTAGTTTTGTACTGTGCGTGAATGCAGCCTAAGAGGTTACTACCAAAGCCATGCACAGCAGGAGTGACGGTGCACATGTGACGTGATCAGATGTACTGAGTCAGCACTGAAGCAATACAGAAGTCTGCTCACACAAGGTATCAGCCACGGTAGCCGCGTGAATACAGAAGTCTGCATATACAAGGTATCAGTCGCTGTAGCAATACAGAAGTCTGCACACACAAGGTATCAGCCACTGTAGCAGTACAGAAGTCTGCACAACAGGGCATCAGCCATTCGAGGATTGTGATTGCACCACACTCCACTGACTTACTTGTGACAAACCGTCCCTGTCCACAGATGGGTAAGGGCGCTGCATATCAGTAATCACTCAGGAGTGCCATGGAAGTCAGCTTCATGTACATGCACACGCTGAGCGCGGCAACCGGCAATCGTGTCTCAGGGCAATCGTGTCTCAGTCGGAGTGGAGAACACAGGTCCCAGGCCGCATTTCACGCGGCATCCTTGAAACTTGACACTGCTGGATGGATGTGCTTTGCAGCATCACCGGCACACCTCGGACTCTGCTGCAGTTGTTTTGGTTGTGTAGCATGCACACCGTAGCTGGCCTGGGCAAGCTCTGGGCAGACGTCGCCATATCTGAGTGTGCTCCAATTCTGCTCAAAACCGGAGAAATCATCCACGTTATTGTGAGCTCCGGTATCCTCAGACTCACTAGCACGTCCACGGTACTAGTAGTACTCAGTACCCGGTGCACTATCCACCCATCCGTAGATCTCTCAGACCAGACTGCCAGTGCCACTTCTTCTGTTCTGTGCTTTTCGCCACCGTTATGCCAAAATGGAGCACATCACAATGACATCATCACCTTCAAGTGTCAGAGCTACTTCAGCTCTACTGCAGCAGGAGATCGGGTCGTAAGGAAACCTTTGAAAACATGTTCATGACATCTATTATTATTATGTCACGATGCAATGTACACCAGTACTGCAGTAGAAGTACAGGCAGATCTACAAATCGCTGCATGCTAGCACAGTAGCAGTTACTTTCTAGAGTTGGTCTTGCTGCTGAACTCGCTTCGTCATCATGCTCAGGTAGCGCGATCCAGGTCACCCTTGTCTTGCATAGTCGTTAGATGGCTCGCCACAGAAGTCGCACAGAACTCCATGGATGTGTGTAGCAAACTGACCGAGTTTCGCAACACTTTTCTGAGACCTGTCGAGACGTCTGTGCGACGAGCGGCCATCAGGGTTTCACCTCGGGAACCCAGTTCGAACTAAGCTCTTTTTACAGACTCTGGAACAACAGTTGGTATGGCTACTGTGTCCTAGTCGTAGCGCACAGGGGATGCATCCAGTTTACTTCTGCACTGCGCGCGTGCTAATCACTGCTGCGAACGAGTGCGGCAATATGCCTGTTTGACAAATTTTTCCATTACTTGATTATTTGAGTCACTCTCTTTTTCGTCCCACATATCGTCTCGAAACCTTCAAGATCACCACCAAGGAGCGCGATCCAGGCCACGATCCTCGTCGCCCACTTCACCTGGAAAGCTAGATGCGTGGTATCAGTTGACCAGCAACGTTTCTAGATTCTTAGAATACAATCATGTTGGAAGGTAGATTTATTGCGATGAAAATCTCGTTTATGCTCAGCGCTAGCGCTCGCACTAGCGCCGCCGCCAGAGTTTACTTCCGTACTCCTTCACACCTGCGTGACTGGTGCATACGTCGGGCTAGCTACCCTCGCCCCCAGTCGTCCACGTGAGGGTCAGTGGGGTCATGTCAACGAGTACGCGTATGCGGAGCATGCAGGGCGCTGGGCTGACGCGGAACCGCGCCGCAGGTCTGCTCTGAGACATGCATGAAGCGGCTTCACCGCCGCTCTCCACCAAGCCTCTCCAGGCCAGAGGCTGAGCTTGCTCGGTCCTCCCCTCACACTGGTGGCGATGTGGGAGCCGCTCGACCACAATGTGAAGACGAACGGGCAATTGTCGGAGGCTGACGACACTCGGCAATACCGTGAATCGTAGCTAATCGCAAGATTGGCACACGGCCACGAAATAGATCTGAAAGTATTCCTGCGCTGGTGATGCTGCATCTTGCTATATACCTGGGCGGTAGACGTAGACACGCGTGCAAAGCAGGCCATGCGCGATGCTTGGTGGATCCTCCGGGAACGTGCGCTGCGCAAGACACGTTACTGGCGTGTCCGCAGCGCTTCGCGGTATGAGCTGTTGGCTGGGCCTCAGCGCCTTGGTCTGATTCTCAGCTGAAACATGACTATGATGATGGTGATCGGGGCCCATTTCACGCTAACATCGGCCCATGGAGACGCCAACGCTGATCTGTGTGTCCCGGAAACCGACCCATGCGCTAAGAATGCCACCTACCCTGCTGCACTGCACTGCGCTCTTGTCCAAGTAATTAGTAGAATCCGCCCTTCACACTAGCACCAGTACTCTCAGACGCTGACCTCTAGTCTCTACACAACACATCATGCGTGCGTGCTCGCTGTGCCTTTTCCAAGCACCGGTGAAGCAGCGCACAACAACGCGTCTAGTCCGATCTACTTGTAGCGGTCTGCTGACGCCTCGATGCTACCGAGTGCAATCGAATACTGTTAGCTATAGTGCACGTGAAATGGCTGTAGATCTACACTGTATTCTTTGCAGTTGTTGTTGTGGTGCTAGTCTGGACAGTCATTACCTACGCATTATTACCCGTGATGATATATACACTATACAGTGTTGCCCAATGAAATCCAGTCCCGTCACTCAAGTCTGCGCCTTTCCTCATTCCGCAGCCCAGTGTTCGCAGGTCTATGGCTGCGCAACGCCCAGTGCGTACTTGAGTGATGTACTAGTAGTGTAGATGTCTGGGGTGAGATTCTGTCTCATAACAGAAGCCTAGCTGCGTTCTACACAAGCCTAATTAGGCATATGCGGATAATGCCGGCAGAAAAATTGGCAGAATTCGGTACTTTTTCTGGTACGTTTCATGCATGTTTGGTATGTGGATAAAGAAATGGATCAGAATTCGAGGAATTGCCCGCCATAAGGTTTGTATGGTTCTGCCAATTTCACTGCTTTTCGAGCAGAATCTGCCACCTTTTCGAGCATTATCCGCACACCCCTAAGCCTAATGGACTCGCCATGATTAGGGTAGTTTGGCTTTTTGTTCCCAAACCACTGAAGCCAGTCTCGAAGCACGCCTCATCATGACCAAGAGTAAATGCCCATCATCCATGTACTAAAATCGGACATCACTGTGGACTCTTGCTACATGTTGAAGCCTGCCAAAGTCTATGAAAGGAATGCGTACACACCTGCACACACTTTTAACGCTGCATGAACACTAAGTCTCGTATCTTTTTCCTTTGCGGGCTTGACTACGTTACATGTGAATGTGATCACTCAATGACTATGTTGGATAGCGTCACTTATCTGATGTTGATTACAATTCCGAGTCAGTTCCAGCTTGCGCTATTATCGATATTCAACACCCGCGTGGCGCGACATGTTGACTTTACTCTCTACTTGTAGCAATGTTGTGAAAAAGTAGCGAAACTCATCGCTCGCCGATCTCAGTATCATCATGCAGATTGCTCAGAAAGTCAAACCTACAGTCACTGTACTGTGTTCCATTGTGTACGTGTGTGTGTCCAGGTAACCACGTAAACACGCCCATTTTCTACCGAAAATGGATGCAGTTCCACCAGCGTTGCGTGCCGACCGATCGGAGGGCGACACGACGACTATACACAATGTCCCGACACGGTCACCTGGTCACACGGACGAGTTTCAAAGTTCTGAAATTGACGCTTGCCCAGACTTTGCTAGATTCCCCAAGCAAGGCTGTGATTACTGGCTGCTACACGCGTACGCAGGCGACTAATATGTAGTAATTTGATGTGAAGACCACTAATGCTTGCGCATCCTCCCCCACACTCGCCCTCACTCTCCCAAAATGTAGCTTTCGTGGCTGCGCCCCGCAGTCGGTGTTCAGTTGATCGGGAAGGTATATGAAGACTTTTGTCCGTCCAGACAAGAACATACCAAACTATCTTGTGTAGTGAGCAGTGAGCAGTGTCTTCTCCTTGTCAGGCTCTGCAGCCCGGAAGGACCAGTTCATCGACCAAGAAGCCAGATCGAAAGGATAGCACCGACCTCCAGATCAGGCCTACGATCGGTCGTTGTCACTGAACTACAGTACAGATTGTAGCCCGGACTACTGTATTGTGCCATCTCGCATCGCCAATCCGCGGGAATCCAGCAAAAGCAGATCGCCTTTTGCCGGAAGACTGCACAAGGCGCCAGGCTGCAGGCCAGGAGGTGCAGTCTGATCATGCAGGCAGTTGGCGCAATTCGAACACGTGGCGTGCACGTGGTGGAGCTCAACATTGCCCAGGCTCATGGCGACAGTGAGACAATGTCGGACGACAAGAAGAAGAGGCTATGCGCCATCTGCAAGAACCATGGCGTCTGTGTCCCTGTCAAGGGCCACGCCAAGTCGGACTGCGCCTTCGTGCACTGCGAGTGCCGACTATGCCAACTGACCAAGCAGAATCGACGCATTGTGGCACGTGAGTACAGTGTAGATTGTACTGTGGAGTAACATAATAATAGTTATCAGCACTGCCAGCAGATTCGACAAGTAATATTGCTAGCTCATTGCAAACTCCTTTACCCGGCATAGCCAATCTTGAACCTGGTCCCTGCTACAGTCATTTGGGTTCCCATGCTCGTGTGAATCTATAATAAGTATGGTGAAGCGTTTGTCGCCAGAAACCTTCTGTCAAGACAGAGAAGGAAAGCCCCACGTCAAGTCGAGTCCGGGCTGCTTCGGCGGCCACCAGCTGTGCTTTGTCGATGAGAACGAAAATCTGGCGGCTATGATGGAGCTTGTGATCGCGAAAAGGATTTCTGTTACGCGCGGACGTGTGCTGCAAGCCGAGAATGGCAGCATATACAATTCTTCTCCTTCGGTAACCATAAATCATAATCATTAATAAGGCTTGTATGAAAGTACTAGGCACACAGTTACACACAATTGAAGGAAGGCAAGTTAGTTCAAAGTCTGTCAGCAAACGAAAGGAGCGTAGATGCGACACTAGCCTAGTGTGGTGAAACGAGAGAGACGAAAATGAACTTCACCTGAAAAATCTGGATTGTGATTTTATACCACTTGCAAGCTTGCTCCTATCGTTTTGAGAGTGTATGTGTGTGTGTGGGGGGGGGGGGGGGTAACAGAGGGAGAGAAAACAGACAGACAGACAGACAAAGAGTCAAAGACACATAACTCATTTCACATAATACAATCATATACTTCAAATACTTTCATTTTCGAGAACTATGTACTGATGTCATGTTTAAAAATAAAGTCTGTTTCGCACTGGACCTGGCTTCACCATACATTCTACATTTCTACAGTCCATTCATGAGAACATGCATTTCTACCTTTTGGCTCTAAATGGGTCAAACTTTGAGTTTTTTAAAGAATTTTTCTCGAATCCCTTATGGAATGCTCTTGCAATTATGTCTCTGAGTCTATTTCTCCAAAAAGCAATCCATGACAAGATTAGGACTTTGGCCGGGTTCTGCCTCAGGCAGGCATAGTGGGATGGTCTAAGACCATGATTGAGAAACAGAGGGTACCAGGTTCAAGTCCTGCTTGGAAGCGGAAGGATTTTTTCCAGCCGTGTTGCGACCCACAGTTAATTGGGAACTCGTGGCCTGGCACGAGGGACACATGGATGCAGTGAATGGGATTTTCGGTCTTTGACCATGTTGCGGTGGGTCTGATCTACTCACCTCCCACTGCTTAAGGAACTGGATCTGTGCCTTGATCCAAGAGGGTGGTGGCCTTCCTGCGGATGCGGAAAACTTGGCTTTCAGCATCGTACATTGTACAGTCTGTATCGGCTATAGCGTACCCTTTTGATTTCTGTGATATTATCACTATATCCGATGCATCACTATAATTATGCGATACGATCGATTTTTATTTTTTTATTTCGATCAACACATGAAAGGCAAGGAAATACTTCCAGCATGGCGTTTTGACAAATGAGCATGCTGCATAGTTTACAGTGCCCGCATTTCCATAACAAATTCTGTTATGTACATGTACATGTATCACTATAAAAATAAGCAACGTGAAGAAAGTAAAAAAATAGGGCCTTTGATATTATTGCTACATGCATTATAGTTATCACTACAGCCGATAATAATTATAGTGTGTTATGCATGTTTTGATTCTTTGCTGCCATCATAATATCCGATACAGTCAACTTTGCGAATAACGACATTTGGCGGGGCATCAGAAAAGTGTCCTTATTCGCGAAGTGTCCTTATACCTGAAGTCCCATTTGAATGTATGTGAACCCATATTTGTATAGTATGGTATGGCAAAATGAAGCCCTTTTCATGCTCTATGCCAATGTATACGTTATTTTCATATTACAATTGAAAGGAACTATACAGTCAATATGGAAGGGAAATAGATTGAAAAATTAGCCTTTGGTCAAGTTTGGAGCCATCTACAGTGACATGTACCTGACTGTACAATGTCATGTACATGTATGATGATTACTGTACAATCATGTACAGTCGTCCCTCTCTAATCCGGCACTTTATAATCCAGCACCCTCGATAAACCAGCACAATTTTCAGTAGCCAAAATGTCCTCTTCATGCACATTGCAGCAGTAAATCAGATTTGTTAATCCAGCACCCTCCCTAATCCAGCAGATTTTCGTGGCACAAATGGTGCCGGATTATAGAGGGACCACTGTACAACTACATGTAGCTGTGCTGATCACTCCAACTGCATGTATTCAGAAGCAAAATAAAAATAAATAAATAAAAGCACCCCCCCCCCCCCCCTGGCTGCATCTTCTTGCATGTGTGCCTTTATCCATCGCCATGGGTTCTGGTGCTTCTGCATGACAGGTACTTGAAATAGCTGGCAAAAGCCCAGAAAGTCGTTATTCAAGCAGTGAATATGACCTCGGGGCAATAAACCATGTCGTTATTCGCGAATTGTCGTTATTCAGATAGTCGTTATATCCGAAGTTAAATGTATACAGTTAAATGGGACTTTGCTCTGGGCATGGAAATTCTGTCGTTATTCGCGAATTGTCGTTATATCCGCAGTCGTTATTAGCGAAGTTGACTGTATATCATTACATCCGATAATATTGGTTATAGTGATATTTTTACTGGATAAAATACGTTTTGCTTTTGATATTTCGTACCAATATCACTGTAGCCGATATATTCTTTTATCCGGTCACTCTATAGCCGATACAGACTGTACATTGATATCCATGCAAAATTATTCCCTGTATTTGGCTCTGAAAACTTGTGAAAGGGCCAAGTTTTGCCATTTCTGACTGAATTTTTCAAAAAATGCCAACGGGAGTAGGCTTTCCCCAAGTCGGCTGGCCGAAAAATTCTCCCAAAACGAGACTTATCGAAAAATCGCTAAGTCTTTCGCCGATTTCGGAGGGTTCCTTGAGAATCGCCGAAAATCTATCAAAATGTTGTTACAAAGTGCGTTTACAAACGAATGATGTTGCTGCAAGCATGACCGCTTGAGCTCTCTACTTCAGTGGTTGTAGTACTAGTGCGTTGAGGTAGTGGGACTAGGGTCCGGCGGATTCTGCCGGCAGAAAAATTGGCAGATTTCGGTACTTTTTCTGGTAAGTTTCATGCATGTTTGGTATGTGGATAAAAAATTGGAGCAGAATTCGAGGAATTGCCCGCCATTTGTATGGTTCTGCCAATTTCACTGCATTTCGAGCAGAATCTGCCACCTTTTCGAGCAGAATCCGCCGGTCCCTACGTGGGACTCGTGTCCTTTGACCTCCTCTCAAACAAACATTTTAGCCATCAGGAAGATCGTTACTCGTAAAATCCCCCAATCGGCGGCCGATGAATTCGCCGAAAACGAGACTTATTGAAAAATCCGATGTGGAGACAATAATCTTAAAAAATAATGCAATGAATATAACTAAATGCGCACTCATATCACAACCATGGGGACGAATAATGTATTCCAGAACGTTTTCTTGTCACAATTATCAATGGAATTCGTGACTAAAGAGAATGATGAAACTACAATAGGATTTATACACTTGGAGTGAAGCAACGAGGATACAAGAATAGCAAGAAAAATAGCACAAACTTGGGAATTTTTTTGCACAGGTAATAAACACTATACAGGTGAGAAATGATAGTAAATTCAGCAAGTGCAGTGTGACAATGGACATGCATGTACAAGTGTGTGTGAGGGCAAATTTACTGGAATAGTATGAGTGCGGCAAAGTTGGCCAGTTCTGCAGCTGTTCTTGAAGCCAACTAGGTCCATCCCACCAAAGAGTGTTTCTTTGAAGTGCAGTAAAGGGTGCTCCTCTAGAGCCAATATCTGCTGGATTATCAAGAGTATTGACGTACCGGTAGGTGATGTCAGTGTGGCTGCGTAACTCCTTGATCCTATTTCCAACAAAGGTGGACAGCTGCCTTGATGATTTCAGCCACCGTAGTACATTGTAACAGCTGCATTTACTTCTAATTACATGTATATTGCTTCGGCGTCGTCATGGTAACGACATTGTTCACAACAACAATTTTCATTAGCCAAAATGTCCTCTTCATGCATGTTCTAGCAGAAAATCAGATTTGTTAATCCAGCACTCTCCCTAATCCAGCAGCTTTTCCGCGGCACAAATGGTGCCGGATTATAGAGGGACCAATGTATATGTATTACAGTTGGATGGGACTTTGCTCTGGGCAAGGAAATTCTGTCGTTATTCGCGAATTGTCGTTATATCCGCAGTCGTTCTTAGCGAAGTTGACTGTATTTCATTGCTTCAAAAATCAAAGGATAAAATTATTGGTGGGGTTTTGGCCGCACCGGCCACACCAGTTCCGACGCACCTGCTTATATCCTTGAACAACACTCCACCATTTCAATGTGGAAAGTTCCAAAACTGGGTTTCCTTTTGTTTACATTTTGATTCCAGGGCAAATTCGGGAACGCCGTAAGTTCGAGAAGGAAAGAGGCATGTCAAGCACGCCAAACAGCCCAGCAGTGCTGTCGTCTTCGGGAAACGACTCCTTACCCTCATCACCGCAGCTGTCCCTCAATTCCTCTCGGCTATTCTCTGACCTAACTGCCAGTGATGATAGCGGGCAAGAAGGATCGGGCGAGGGTTCAAGCTCCGGACTTGATGCTCACTCTTACACTCAGTGTGAGTACTGCTAAAACTATCTTGACTAGTTTGAGGGAAAGACTCAAACGGGAAGAGTCTGAAGAAAAAATGACTAGCTAAAACTATGTACTTTTTTTAGCATTCGTCCATTTCAGGGACTTGGAAAGGGGAAAAAATCGGGGAAAAAATTGACTGTTACCATCAAGACCTGAACCAGAGGCCTTCACCAAAGGTCAATGATGCCATACCACTAGTAGTCTATGATGTAATCACCCGGTCCCAGCAGAGACCGTTCAACAGTTTCTTACAATGCCTGCCATCCCTGCAGTGTAGCTTCCAATCGCCTAGTGGGGCCCCCGACCCACACTGCTACCGGCTGCGCTCACGAGGAGTTTTTCGCTCTGGAAACGATGTCATTTTATTAAAAGACCACCTACTCCCTCTCACTACCTACCCCACCTCTGGACATACCGTCAACTTTGCATGATAACGACACTCGGCGGGACATCAGAAAAGTGTCGTTATTCACAAAGTGTCGTTATACCCGAAGTCTCATTATAATTATATGTATTACAGTTGGATGGGACTTTGCTCTGGGCATGGAAATTCTGTCGTTATTCGCGAATTGTCATTATATCCGCAGTCGTTATTAGCGAAGTTGACTGTACCTGCATTCTCTTTTGGTAGGTTAGGGGCGTGCAACTCGCACGTTTTCACCACAGTCTGTTCATCTGAAATAGTCCTTCAGGTTTTGAAAACCTGATTTTGGCGGAATTCAGACTCAAAACCTTGAACTCCCTGAAGCTGACTTTTTGACCAGCCTCTCCATAGATCTTGTCATGGTGAACCTGTTCTGAGTTTAGTAAAACCTGGCTGAATAGTGCTAACTACCTGTCCTTGGACTGTTTTTCCCGTGGAAGAACTGCTCTGGTACCACGGTGTTGGATTTGTAGTCGTTTTTACTATATCTTTTTTTCTACAAAATCCACATATCTCCAGACACTGGGGTGAATGATGGAGTGTGGTGGTGGGGCCCATTAAGCTCCGCCGACCAGAGGTCTCGGCTTCATAGCTCCATGGACGATATCCACACCTACACACAATATCAGGGCCGGCGCCACTGGTACGGCCGGTACGGCCATGGCCGTGCCAACTTCCCAAAACGTAGGTCCACGTGGAACGTCCAAAACCGGGGAGAAAACGTTTCGGTGTATGATTTTGCACAGGGAGTCGCCCAGAATGCAGGATTTGCCGTCTAAATTCCAAAAACATTCTGCGGGAGGACCCCCAGACCCCCTTAAAGATGGCCCTTCGGCCGCACCGCTCCGCGGAAGCTGCCTCTGGCCCTGTTGTGTATTGGTAGAAAGACTTTTCGTCGCTCATTTTTGTTGTGGTCCTTTCGTTTATTTTGGTTTGTTTTGCGTTCTGCTTTTGGCTATGTTAGACGGTTTTGGTTGCATGTAAAGTTTGTACATGAACCAAGTAACGGTTACGTCATTGTCATGCGTTGTGTTTTGTTGCGCGCATGCTCATATGCTGCCATAAAGGTTAGTCTTTTTCTTCAGTTATCAGTTTACCTCGTCGTGTCCGTCTTCTTGTCTGTCCGTCTCCGTCTTGTCAAGAAATTATGTAGAACTCTTAGTTCAGTTTCGTTGTTGTGTGTGTTGCGGGTCGGATGGGCAGGCAGGCTGGGCCCCTGCTGCCTGGACAACATGTGCGTGTGCACAAGAGGCCCTGAATATACAAAGAAGGTTTATGGTGTATGGCACAACTCAGTGTTGCAACATACTCCACAAACCTCCTTTGCGCTTTGCTTGTTTGTTTCTTTTATTTGAATTCGTTTAGAGCACAGGCATTTCTGCTTTCTCACCAGAGGAAAAACCTCCGGTTCCTACTAAGAACGAAAAAATATTATGAGAGAAGGAGTTATTTTAAGCATGTCTGAGAAAACCAGAACATATGTGCAAGTCGATCTGTCAGATTTCGCTCAAATTTTGCAGGTAGGTTTGCTTTGGGGTGTAGATCGACATTCCAAAGCCCGCACAAAATCTTTTAAAGGGAACCATGAAATTGGTATACCCCTCAATATTGGCCCAATACTGGCACGATTTATGGGTCTACAAACGAGCCACGGCACAGCGTACAAGAACAAGCTACGAACAAAACTCCATCAAGCCAACATTACCTCACCTTAGAAGAGTTCTTGGGGCAGCACCACTTAGCCACGCCAGCATCCCAGAAGACGAGGGAAATCATCCCTTGACGCCACAACTGATCGTCTTGAAAATAGCCAAATTACAAGTGCTGATAAAACAGCGAGCTACGTCCTCAATTAGCAAACACTATACACCGGCAGATAGTAGAACACCTCTTCTAGCACTGAGGACATGTCCCCCATCCACGGCTGTTCACGTGCATGCACTTATCAATATGGCGTTGTTCGGTGCGATTTATGTAACATTGTGCGAATAGTACAAATACGCGATGAGTTTGCGTTTTTGCAAGAAACTCATGTCGATCCTCGCGTGGTTCCACGATTTGGGACGCGAAACCAAGAGAAAAGTTTGGAAAGCGCTCGAGCGAGATACTCGACTTTTCAGCAATTTGAGAGAGAAAGAGGGTGGAAAGGCGTCCTGGCCTGCCCAGTTAGCTCTCTTTCCGCTTCAAACTTGCTCGAAGTACTCCTGGCAGTCTGGAGATTGATCTCGCCAGTGATTGTCAGCCTCTGCTTGGCGTGCTCGCGTGTACAACATTCAAGTTAGACATTTCGTAATCGTTCAACGCACAATAGGGTAGATATCACAATTTCAAGCTCACTTGGCCGGCTGCTGTCTTCTTCTACAATATCCCACATGCCGACTAAGCAATTTACAGCAGGAAGCAGCCTTCTACACTCAACAGCAACTAAAGGGCCACACCATTTTGTCTTCCAAATCAAGAGAAAACAGGCTCCTGACTCGTCGCGCGTATTTAGAAGTTCATGCGCGTATTCTAATGACACTTGGGGAAGACAACCAGAGGATAGTCCTCTACCTGGGAAAAATCGATCTAAGCTGGGAAAAAATCGGGAACGGCTTCTCGGAGCGGAGTTTGTCAGCGACGACACAAGGAGTATTCAAGAATGAAGCCAAAGCCGCACGACAAAGAACAAATGTTTCTTGAAGGAAAGGCAGTCATGTGAGGTACGAGCGGAAAGCTTGAAACAAGACGCAGATGATCAGCGTGTTCCCCGGGCTGTCTGGGCTGACTCCAAAATCCAGGGGAAACCATGGCCTACTCGTGTTCTGACGATTTGAAATTTCAAATTTTCTTGCCATTGAAGCCCAATCGAGACTTTCGGCAGCCATATTGTTAAGTGGCGTGAAATCGCACAAAAAAAACAGCCGTGCATCATCCTTTTGGATTTTCTTTGAAATAAACAATTTTGAATTTTTCCACTCAACCATTCTGAAATATGTCCAAACTCATACCTGCGCAGGAAAGCTCGCCCCTCCGCGACGTCTAGTCAACAATTTCTATTCCAACACCACTCCCAACGCTGCAGAACAAAGTGTATTGTTGACTCTGACAGGGAAAAGCAGCGGTGATCACTTGTCACTCCAAACGACAAGCTTCTCCTTGCGCCACCAACATTTTTCGGTGCAACAGTTGATGCAAAGTGAGTGAATTTTCACGTGTAGGTTTTGAATTTTACTGCTAGAGGAATGAAGAAATCACGTGGATCGTGACGTAGAATAATGCTTTCTGGTGCACGACACAATGCACAAGATCACGATCGTTCCAGAGGCGCTATTCGAAACGGACCATGAGGGAGGAGGTAAGATGCATTAGATTTCTTGCATGCTCTGCTCAGAACATTCAGAAACTATCGTTATAGCGCTAGCAGTATTGCATTGGCAAGAATTCTTTGAGATATTTCCTCTTGCAGTAAGAACAGGGATGCATTTTTTCACACTAACCTGCTGATCCCGAAAATGGTTCAACAGGAACCACGGCTAGTTTACATGCTGATGATCCACGTAGATCTGCAACAGCAAGGAATGAGCGTGGTCCATGCCATCAAGGTCGCGTCGTTAGGAGCTGACCAGCGCGCGGCCTACACTGGTTTCATGGGGTATGTGGCGTGGCCACCTGGCAGATTTCTTATGTCATGAACAATATGATTTGACCCTACTCGCCCTAGTCTCTGTGCTGCATGTTGAGGGAAAGTCCCGGCTGGAAGACCTACAACACGACATGCGTCCTCTTGAGCTGGACATCAAGATGCACTTGATCCGATCTAGATCAACGGGTGATCCATGTAAGTGCAGGTGCGCTTGATCAAGGTGACTCTGAACAACTGCTGAACCGTGATCTACGAGACCTGGCATTCTTGTGTCACGAGGCACGTGATTTCATCATTCCTCTTACAGTAAAATCCAAAAACTACACGCAAAATTCACTCACTTTTGAATCAACTGTTGCACCGAAAAATGTTGGTGGCGCAAGGAGAAGCTTGTCGTTTGGAGTGACAAGTGATCACCGCTGCTTTTCCTTGTCAGAGTCAACAATACACTTTGTTCTGCAGCGTTGAGAGTGGTGTTGGAGTAGAAATTGCTGACTAGACGTCGGGGAGGGGCGCGCTTTCCTGTGCAGGTATGAGTTTGGACGTATTTCAGAATGGTCGAGTGGAAAAATTCAAAATTGTTTATTTCAAGAAAACCTAAAAAGGATGATGGGGACATGTCCTCAGTGCTAGAAGAGGTGTTCTACTATCTGCCGGTGTATAGTGTTTGCTAATTGAGGACGTAGCTCGCTGTTTTATCAGCACTTGTAATTTGGCTATTTTCAAGACGATCATTTGTGGCGTTAAGGGATGATTGCCCTCGTCTCCTGGGATGCTGGCATGGCTAAGTGGTGCTGCTCCAAGAACTCTTCTAAGGTGAGGTAATGTTGGCTTGATGGAGTTTTGTTCGTAGCTTGTTCTTGTACGCTGTGCCGTGGCTCGTTTGTAGACCCATAAATCGTGCCAATATTGGGTCAATATTGAGGGGTGTGCCAATTTCATGGTTCCCTTCAAAAGATTTTGCGCGGGCTTTGGAATGTCGATCTACACCCCAAAGCAAACCTACCTGAAAATTTTGAGCGAAATCTGAGAGACCGACTTGCACATATGTTCTGGTTTTCTCAGACATGCTCTCTTTTAAGGTAGCTCATGCCGAAATACTTTTTCCGAAAATTCACCAGTTTAACACCTTTTTTGCAATGCTATGGGTGTCCAGAATGAGAAAATCAATATAGTAGGGTATGTAATTGGGCACTTTGGAGGGGTTATGGCACCTCGAAGTAGCCCAAACAAGGCGTTCTCTTAACCCTTTGGAGTCCGTAACTTTTTTGCTTCCGCAGAATTTGTGGCAGTCACGAAAATGCGCACTCCATTTCCAACATAACTTTGGTTCTACTTCACCGATTTTGAAGATCTTGGGCTCGTTGGAAAGCTCTTGATGAGAGAAATACAATGCGCCCAAACTCGCCAAGAGCACTTTTCATTGTCTGCCACAATGCGCCCCAAACGCGAGTCCAGCTCCAGATCTGAGACGAAATCGGTCTCCTGTAGCCATTTCACTGAATCTGGCTCGGAACTGTTCAATTTTTTTCGAGTAGAAGCTTACCTTGCCGTGACGTCGCGCCGCGCCAGTCCTGGCACGTGCCGCCTGTCATGAAGCTGGGAAAATCCCTTTTTTCACACACTGCTGACTCGCAGCACGCAGCGCAGAAAATTCGAAATGTTTGATCGCTCGCCGCTCACTCAAACTTCGTCGGAGAGACTTCGGATCTGTTCGAGGCGATAGCTGAGAGTTTTTTCTACCATCTAGACCCTTCGATTGTTGAATTTGGTCAAGATTTGGCCGAGAACCGAAAGTTTGACTGCGCCCACATGCATACAAAATGCCCATGGTTCGAAATCGAACCATGGACTCCAAAGGGTTAAGAAAGAGACAGGTTTGTATTTTAAGGACAATAAAATGCTTCCAACCTTCATCTGTTGCTTCATGTAATCATGTCAGTAATTCCCATAGTATCAGAACATGTCAGAGTAGCTTTATCAGCAAAAATACATTCGTTGAAAGTACAGACTTCTATGTGAGGAGACGAAACAGGTATTCTGAACCCCGATTCGATATGGTGCCAACATGAAATTTATATTTTGCAAAATTGGCCCGAAAATGATTGAGTTTTTCTTGCTAGTTGCATTGCACTACGTCAGTATCATAAAGTTATGTCTAAATGATGTTAGCTCATTGGACTCGTTTACCCACTGTTTACAGAAATATGCAAAGAAATGATCGTCTCTCGTAATTGATTCCAGTGTATTTGCCTCCACAGTGTGTGATTATAGTGGTCCTGAATTCCAAAAAAAAGAATTGAAATGCACTTATATCATAGTTTAGTACAAGCCTGCCTCATAGAAACAAATGAAAAGTGATTTTCTGTTTGTAAAAGTAGGTTTTACTAGTCTTATTTCGTGGCATAAATGCGAAAGTATGGGTGTGGCTTTCACAGGCCCCAAATATAGGGAAGGATTCATTGCACACTAGCGAAATTTTGTGAGTAACAGCTTGCCCTCAACATGCTTCAACCCTGAAAATGTGAACAAAATCGGACAGAAAGTGGTTTTTGACTGCCGATATTTTTCGCGGTATAGGCCCGAGCTACCTTAATTAAAACGAATCATAACATGAGAATTCCAAGAAAATTGTACAGTAAAACCTGTGACTACTGACCACCCCTTGGTGCCAGCAAAAGCGGTCTTTAGTGGCAGGTGGTCTTTAGTTAGAGGTTTGCACCGCGCGACCATTATGGATCCCATTATATGATAATTATGTATATGAAAATGCAGCTAATACAATTTCTCCAAGACTTGCGCAATGCCATTCTTATTTCAGGTCAAACAACACTTAGAGAGAAAGACGGAGAGATGGAGAGAGACACATAGAGAGAGATTAATTTTTTTGCGGACATCAAATTCAGCTCCTACTTCTGAAGCCAGGAGTCAAACATTCCCTCTGGAAGTTTCGTTTTGCGCTGGGCTTCAAATTTGTTCATGCGATCAATCGTACCGACTGTCCTTGTTGCGACTTCTCGATTGCTTGAACGTGATTCTCCAGCATCAGGACCTTACGGTGCTGCTTTGTTTCTGGATTCCTTGTTGCCATCGTTGATTCATCTGTATGACTGGGGTGACAGAGCCGCTCAGTCTTCGTTTCTCCTCCGAGTAGTAACATCGATCAGAGAGCGCTTTCGATACGCTCTCCAAGACGTTTCCTCTCATGTTTATTCTTGACAGCGCTTGAAATTCTGACAGGTGTAGTGAAGTCCACACCGACTCCACAGTCAAAAATGAACTGCGTTCATTTCTTCAGCTGTGGTATCGAAAGATGCCTTCCAGGACCACGGAAAATCATCAAAATTTCAAGAAGGAGCTTCGAGGAACATCGCGGTCGCTAGTTACGGGTAAAAGATCGTCTTTGGGACAAGAAAAGGCGGTCGCTGGTCGCGTTCAGCAGGTAGTCGCCAGTCACAGTGCATTTTGAATGTGAGACCGTCCGTGCCTGGCAAAGTGGTTGGTAGTACCAGGCTGGTCGCTAGTCACGGTGGTCTTTAGTTACAGGTTTTATTGTATGATGAATAGGGAGGATCATTGCGTGCACACTGCCTTTAACCCTTATCCGACCGTCAAAGTGGACAAATTCTCAGTCCCAGAGAGACGCCGCGACTCATTTTGTTGATAACTTTAGTTTCCCTTGGGTGATATTGGCAAACTTGAGCCATGAGGAGTTCTCTAGAAACAGTTTCTAGCCTTCATTTGTATGAGGAACAAACATCCATCTCTAATTACATATTTTTGAAGAGAAGCACAGCTCATCGACATGTGGACTATTTGTAGTCTTAATTTTGTACTTACATGCTAACACTTTTGAATATACAATCAGGAAAGCCTCCAGGAAAAGTTTTAGGAGGGCAATAATAATCATTGCCAAAGTTACACCATTTGCAAACTTGTTTCGTACGCGGTGTGAAAACAGTCCTCATTCAGAGACTTATAACTTCTCTTTGGAACATGTGAGGACGCTCCGGTATTTTGCAAATGAATGGTGGGTCTTAGTGCATATTCGATCAAAAATAAGTGAGTTACAGCTTGCTAAAGTCATCGACGGATAGTCGTCGATTTTTGACTGGCCGGTCGGATAAGGGTTAAAAAGTATAATAGATGAGGGATGGATGTCAAGCAAAGCAGCAGCCATGAAGGGATGCCGAGCAAGGGAGGAGCGGGTTTCACTTGTTGCAAACCAGAATCCATTCTGTCCAGAGCCAGTTTAGTAAAGGCGCAAGCCGCACTGTGGGGGCGAATATCACTGGGAAGGGCATTCCAAAGAGTTCTTCCCACAAATGTCAATGACTGACGTCCAGAAGGTTCAGGAAGGAAAGGCACTTGCAGCTGCCGCTATTCCTGTCCTCGAGTAATTCGGCGATCATCCCAGGATGCGTGTCCTGTATGGGCCGCCAACTGAAAGTAGGCGCAGAAAAGAGGACTTGCAAGATCATGTAGGCAACGGCTTGGGTGTAATAGTGCTCCCCATTATTGTGTTGAGCCCTCTCCGCTGACTAAAGGGAAACCACCTTGTATTCACCACTACAACTGGGTTTACCGGGTGTTAGCGGCCATCGTGAGTTCCCTTTCGGAACAGACACGATCTGCTTTCTTTTCACTACATCATATTTCTCCGAATATATGTCACACCTTTTTGCAACTAATCCGAATGTCGAACGAGGGAGTGCGACCTACAATCTGTTCGACTTATTACTCGAACATACTAAAGCCATGTGGCGAAAAACTCAGACTGGGGAATGGGGATGCGACCTATGACTACTGTGAAACCGGAAAGTCTAACGTTTTAGCGACCAAATTTTATTCGCTATTTGAAGAAAAAAACGTTATCGTGAACCCGGTCTGAGATGTGTGTAAAGATGCGCATACAGATGGGTGGCCAGGTAGCCATCGTTAAACCTTCTGCACGTTGTCATGCCAAAATTACAAAAACGTTTAACTTTTTCGTCGTTGAACTTTCTGGTTTTACAGTATACAGTGGTCCCTCTATAATCCGGCACCGTTTGTGCCACGGAAATCTGCTGGATTAGGGAGGGTGCTGGATTAACAAATATGATTTACTGCTGCAATGTGCATGAAAAGGACATTTTGGCTACTGAAAATTGTGCTGGTTTATCAAGGGTGCTGGTTTATAAAGTGCTGGATTAGAGAGGGACGACTGTACTTACAATCGGGGAAATGCGGTACGTGTGGGATACCAAAGAGTAAGGTTGCCAGGTTTGGATGACTGTACTGCAAATAGAGCTACACTGAAACGATTGGCTGAAACACAGCCTTGAAGGGTGACATTATTTTTAAGGTACTATGTTATTTGAACTGCAAATGCTTCGGGTCCGGGGGGGGGTCTCCCCCGGGAACATTTTGAAATGAGGGTGCAAAATCCTGCATTCTGAGCACTTTCGGCATTGTGTTAAATAAAAATGCTCCGGCCAAAGGCGAACCGGGCCGGACCGGCTATGCCCCTGTCTCAATATAGTGGGCATGTTCTGTTCCTTTGTGCATAGCCCCTGCCAGTGCTGGTACAGCAGACACCAGTGAGCAGAACAAGCGCCTGCTGCTGGCGGCCGCAGAGTGGCGAGACCACCACCGAATGCAGCTGCCGGCGCTCTCCGAAGAAGCCGAGCCGCTCTCCGACGACCAACTGAGGGACCAGATCAAGGATCTTGTTCTGAGCGGCGAGGACCCTGGGCTGCGTCCGCGTTCGCGATCCTCCTCTCCGCAACCTCCACCGCCGCACCCCCAAACAGTGGCTGCACAAGCGCATCTGCAACCAATGGACGTACAGCCGCATTCCCAACAAATTACTGCAAACACTATTCCACTGTCTTCCCCCAGCGCTCGACAAGACCGCCACATTCGACCCTCGCGCGAGCGTATTAATCATATTCGCATGCAGTACGATCGGCTGGCCAGGGGAGTGAGTGACGTCTCGGCTCTCCAGCGTCAGGCTTTTGTCTTGAATGACCCAGCACACGTAGGCGGCAAGTTTGTGTGCCCGCACTGCAGGGGTGCGTTCCAGTGCCGTCGCGATCTAGAGTTCCACTTCTGGGCGCACACCAGCCCGCAGTCGCCCTACCTGTGCCACGTGTGCGGCGAGAGCTTCGAGACGACGCACACATGCGACAGTCACAGCTCCGTGCATGGCCTGCATGACTACATCTGCCAGTTGTGCGCCAAGGTGACGTCGCGTGTCACCGGCATACAGGAGCACTGGGAGGACGTGCACCTCGCACTGCCGACCGCTACCAGCTCGCTCGTGGCGCTCCACTCACCGACAGCTTGCCACGTCTTTGCACACGGCCAACCGACCGGCAGTGCTTGCCGAGGGTGTAGTGGCAGTAGCGAGGGAAGCAGCACCCCAAGCCCGCCAGTCACCATGCCAATGCTGGCATGCAGCGAAGTGGAGCGCATCCTGTACGGTCTACAGCAGCAAGCGTCCTCTTTGCCCAGTCCAGCGCCACGCGAACCGCCAGCATCTAGCTTCATGTTTGTGGACGTGACCTTGTCGGAAGCTGGCACCGTAGTCGAGTACCGTCCCAAGCCGAACATTGAACAAGACCCGGAGTACCAGAAGCACTTCATGCAAGGCAATCACAACTAGTCGCCGGAATTCCTTACCTCAGAAGCTTTCAAACACATTTGTGCATGTGCCTGATGTTAGATACAACGGAGTCCGTGATCCCTGTGTGTGTGTGTGCGTGTGTGTGTGCGTGTGTGTGTATGCACACATGCATACACATGTGTGCGTGTTTTTGTGTGTTCAAGTTGCGCCATTATCCTGGGCTTGACTATGATGCTGGCTGTTGTGTTGCAGAGTGAAGTCACAATAATAAGGTAGCGAAAAGAGAAGGTAGACCAAGGAGGATGTGTACATGTATGTGAAATGTGTGTCAGTATCTGCTCCAGAGTCGGGTCAGCCGGGACAGTGACCCGGTTGGGGGGGGGGGGGGGGAGGTACTTGGACCCGCTTTGAAAAAGAACACTGGGTCACCTGGTACAATATACATCAGGGAGTCCTAATCTCTTTACAACTCCCTTCAAGTCCATTCACAAAAAGATGGGCCCTTGCTCTGGTGAGCTCCCGAATTTGGCGATTTTTCAAGATTTTATTGTACGCAGTGCAGTGCTGCGAAATTTGAAACTTGAAAAGTGTCCAAACTTGAAGGGTACCTGAAGTGGTGTTCGAACCCCACAATGCACTGTTGCAGGCAGGGTCAAACGGCCTGGATTTTGATGGGTTTTCCCCAATTCAGGTTTTGACCTGGCCGAAATCCTATTGGCTTGTCAAGGCTTGCTTTTTGGAGAAATAGACTTCAGAAACATAATTAGAAGAGGATTCCATAGGGGATTGCAGAAAAAAATTCTAAAAAAACTCAACTTTTGACCCATCTATGACCAAAAGCAAGAAGTCCATCTTTTTTCTGAATGGACTGTAATGTACATACAGTAGCCTCACTTGAATGGACCCGGCGGCTCTGATCCGGTTGCAAGAGTTGTACCCGGTTGGGTTGAAGTCCTAGATCGCTATAGTCTGTATAGAGCAGACACTAGTACACTGGTGTGTACGTGCACATGTGCGGAAAGAGTAATAATTATACTAAATAAGTAGTAGTTAGTTGGGGTACGTCCATACTCCATAGTAATAGTAATAGTAATTACGTAATAGTATGGATACAGTATTTTTTTCTTCATTTTTTTTCTGCAAAATCCACATTATCAAGAGTCCATGCACTGCCACTACGCACTCTTGACATTACGGAGCATCAACAAATCGAATTTTCGATTGATATTCGAGAATCGTCACGAAAAGCACTCAATCAGTCGAAACTAGGGCTTTGTTCGACTGAAAAATGCCCGCAAAGAGAAAATACTTTTCGAATACTTTTCGAATGCTCCGCGCGTGCTCTAGTAGTAGTACACCATGTACACGGGGCACTACGAGTACGAGTAGATCTACTCATACTTGCGCATGTAGCTACTAATTCTTACTGTAGTCGTAGATTCTAGTTGTAAGTGCACAAGGCACAGTCGAACCGGACTTCTTGACGCTTTTTTCTTTCCTCTCTCTCGAACTGTGAAAAGGTTTGTCAAGTGTGCTTTTTGTTTCATTTCAAGATCCTGGAATCGTGGCTTTTTTCACCAACTACCAGCCCCGCGGTATATGCCTCCTGCTCCCAGTCACCCTGCTGGCGTTGCCTCGCGTCTATGGTGAGTTGCCCGCAGGGAGAGGGCAACTCAAAGTGTGCCAAATATTTGACGTTCGACCTCACCATGGATCTCATTCTGCTGAGGCAATGTTGGGCCCACCCTCAGCTATTCGTCCGCGGGTCTCCTGATACGCAAGGGCAGGGGATAGCGGAGGAGCTCGGCCGAGATCCGCCTTTTCAAGGGGTCTCCATACCAAGTGAGATCCTATCGCCAATAGCCTGAATCGGATGAAGCATCCGCCGCTTCGCGTCATCCTCAACGGCAATGAGAAACAGCAGCAACTCCGTTCTGTCCAGGTGACCTTCAGTGAACTCAAGGAAGAGAAGCGAATCCAACAAATCGACTTGCTCTGCAACAAACGCAGCCATTGCACATCTCAAAATCCCAGTCCTCAACTACCATGACTAATCAGGCTAGAGAACTCGATTCGAAAATACTGGACTGCGCTACATGCTGAACCTCTTTTTCATTCGAATTTTCGGTCTGATTTTCTCTTTGCCATTCGAATAATCAAATCGAAAATTCGATTTGCTGATGCTCCGTATATCTCCAGACACTGGGCGCCCCGGGCCATGGGGTGAATAATGGATAATACAGCAATAAGAAGAAGACTGAGACAGCTCGCTTATTACTCAGAATTGAGCTCTACGCATCTGTCAGTGAACAGGTTCCACTCAAGTCGGTTTTGGGCTAACCGTGACAAAGCCTTCAGGGGTAGTGATGTTGGTTTTCTTCTGTCGGTTCAGGTCTTGCTTCGTTCATACACAAAACCAACATTATGTACTCTTGGTGACGCCTTGTTGTTGTTGTCTTGGCCTGCGCGTGGCAGACGTGCCAAATCTCCCTATCAGACGAGAGATATCTCCTGATTTTTGCGGATGTTTGCGAAACATCTCCCTCAATCATCTAATATCCGGACTAGAACTGAAACCATCCCAACTCCACACGGGTTTTGTGAGACGCGCTACCAAGTACCATGCTCGCGCTAATTTATTTTCTTCTGTTTGTATGTAGCGCTTGACCGGTTATTATTTTTCTTCTCTTTATTTTGCGCTACATACCGGTATTATTATTTTTCTGGTTTAGGCCACACCGTTTTTTATCTATGTTTCGCGTCCCCCGCGCGCATGTATTTCACAGCCGTTAAAAAAAAAAACGGAACATAATTTTGTTGTTGCAAATGCAATACAAATTTAGTACCATGCTCATCATGCATGTACCGTCGTGATGCATTTGTTCGATTCACATTTTGTACTACTGTAGAACAGTAATGTGAGCTAGGCTTTTAAAACTGGCAACCTTTTCGGAATGGTGCATGGTCAAACGTGCTTGCATAGCACGCCCATTTCCTGTTGAGCATCTATCCGTTTTTGTTTCGCTCTGTAAAGAGCACTTAGGGTTCCCTGTAGCAAGACGGCAACGTCTGTAGGGCCTTCCCTATCAAAATAATAAATTCTACTACTATTGACTACTATTCCTGCTGAGGGCAGGTGACCCTCTAAAAGGCTCTATGCTCTAGTCGATCTACTGCCAGTACTTGAAACCCAGCCGGGGGAGAGATCACAGTTGGCAGGTCTGGACAGTGGTGCGTGTTTTTTTCGAAACTAGACACCCTTAGCAAACAACGTTATGTTGTGACGGTATTACCGGAAGGGGGAAAATAACGTGATTTGGGCTCGACCTTTAGCAAGATGCACGCTATTTTTATTACGCTGTTGCCTCGAGAATAGCTTTTAGTTCGCGCGGTACAACCATTTATGTCACCATATACGCGATACAAGGTGAAATGCGTACGGACTATGCAATATTTGGCTAAAACACGTACCGTTGGTCACAACGATAAATCAGCCCCCATAACGTGTATACGCTGCAGCTTCAACGCTATTTGGGTGATCAAGGTACGAGTACCGTAAAAAATAGCGTTACCGTTGTTTGCTAAGGGTGTCTACTGTCAAAGGATTCCTCCTGAATGACATCATGGCCCGGCTAAGCTTATAAAATTAAATTTTAGTAAAGACGTCTCAACTCATGCCATGGCAAGTGTGTTGACAGCTAACTACTGTGCATTGGTTGCGTGCGATGAGCTGAGACCATGGGCATGGTGTTAGGGATGTTCCTAACTGCTAAAAAATAACATTTTCACGGAAACGCTATGTATGGTCCTTCAATAGCAGGTACGAGGTGTGTATAACAGCCTCATTGGCATCTGCCCTTGTTTTTCGGATGCCATTTTATGCTCCTGCTCGAAAAGGACCTGATCATGCCAAAATTTATGCCGGCATAATCCGCTTACCCCTACTCGGAGGTAGTCATGGGCCATCCATAAGTCGTTGGCTTTCAAATAGCGGTTGACTGCAACCTTGAAATGTTGCAAGTTCTTGGTGCAGAATGGCCCAGACAGACACAACTGCGTGAGGATGGTCTCGGCACCAGTTATTATTATTATTATTTGTCTCTTTCCCTCAAACCAGTTAATATTATTATTATTATTATTATTTTATTTATTTTACAAAAAAAAGTATTGTCTACGCATGCATCTACGCAAGAGTCACCACCAGCCAATTAGGACATGTGTCAAAGTATTGAACGTTTTCGTTCCCTTCTTGTCAAAATACTACAGGGAATGATGGAAATAAGCTAAAAGACTACAACTATAAGGAAAAGAAGTTCCTTATAGTTGTAGTCTTTTAGCTTATTTCCATCATTCCCTGTAGTATTTTGACAAGAAGGGAACGAAAACGTTCAATACTTTGACACATGTCCTAATTGGCTGGTGGTGACTCTTGCGTAGATGCATGCGTAGACAATACTTTTTTTTGTAATATTTTCTGCCTCCGTCCTACTTTCAAATTATTTATTTTACTAGGGTGTTTCCCACAGACCTATGGTCTTCTTACGTTGTTACAGGAGCGGATTGGAAAGTCATTTGCCAGTTGGTGCATGTGGTCATTACATCTCTGCAACGTACAACGGCTGGAGTGGACTGTTTGGTGTTGGGTCTGCCCGGGTGGTAACATTCTCTGAGGAAGGTGATGAGTGTTTGGGCAATACATCCTACAGTCCAACGATAATGGCAGTAATGCGTCTAGGTGGCCATGTCCTGAAGACGAGACCGCAGGTCGCCGGAGCTCCTGAACCTCCCCACCGCTGCCACGATTCATGTTGTGCGTGCTTCCCAAGCTGCAGCTCATGTTTGGCCCTTAGACCCTTTAGAGTGCTCCCACGTCGATATCGACCAGTGGGGACAGGTCGGCACTCCAGCATTCTTGTGGAGCGCTTGCTGGATCGCAGAACGCTGGATGTTGGGCAAAATGCACCCAGGATATGGGCAAATCGATTCCAGCAAAACAAATCGGGGTCATTATGCAAAATGTCGCGTACTCGATCGATGTCTTCGCGTAAATAAAAAGTCGCGGCACAAAAGTCCTCAGGGAGAACTCCGAAAACGCTGCGAATGCAGCAAAATCGAATAGTAGCAGGGTAGGGCTAGGAATGCCTCAACCATGCAATTAACCAGGAATGCAACTAGAAGTAGCGCTACATGATTTGTACACGATCTAAAGTGAGAAACAAATCTGTATTCCCGGTCAACTCGGTGCCTTCTTCTGGCAGTTCTGCTG